TGACATATTGTTTGCATTTCCTCATAACTATCAGCATTACATCATCAGCGTATTCTAGGTCCGTGACACACCTCTTGCACACCTCTTGAGTACCGACAAGCGATGACCATTATTATCCAGTCTATCGCATAACTGAATATTGTGGGGGAAAGGATGCAGCCCTGACGGACACTAGTTCTTTGCGGAGAAGGCGAAACCAGCTATGAATCCAGTTAGGACGCATTCTACTATCTCTGCTGCCATGAATCTATTTAGAATGAGGGAAGTGAAAAATTTTTCGGAGATGTCAGTAGGCTGATTCCTCGATAATTGTGGCAGTGCCTCCTTGAAAAGTTCGGTACGAAAACCACCTTCCCCAGGAGTTAATGGATTACAGAGTAGCAAGCTCGATGAGATCAGTGATATCCAAGATAACCAGGCGAAACTGTTTCCTATTATCACATCCAAGCCGCCGTCTCCATTCTCAAGGCCATATCCCTCCAATAGCGATTTCTGTCCCGCCGTGCTGCTGTCGTTATAATTCTTTGAAATATCCGGTAGTCAGGATTATTACCTGACATTCGTACTTTGGCAATTTTTTTCAGTTGGACTGTTGCTTCCGATAACCAACTAGCGTACTTTTTACTAGTACGCTCTAGCGAGGAAGTGACTGATTTTGGGAGACATTCCTTTATTTTGGACCAGTATCCATTTACCGTTCCATAAAAGTTATTGGTATTTGTACCATTGAGATGTTTCAATAATTCGATTTGAAATGATTTTCTTATCGTTCCCGGATTTTTTAGTTTGAGATACTTGAAAGATTTTGAGATACGTTGTTTCTTATGACCTGTCAGTTTTATACGAATCTTGGCTCGAACCATAACATAATCTTATCCATAGCGGTTACCAGTTTCAGTGATCCGATAAGGACGACATCAAGTAGAGAACTCTTCTAGCGACAATTGACTAATATATAGCCAATCTTATTAGAATATTAGAATATTTGTTGTACGGAGAATGACACGTGACTATATGTTTTCTCCGATGTTGAAAGCATGTATCCAACTAAAAATCCATATTGTTATAATCCATATCCATATTGTAAGAATCCATAATCCATATCGGCAAAGCGAAGAAGATTTTCTCCACTGGCGCACTGGACCACCAAGCCATATTTGCCAATTACCGAGTTCATCGAAACTGCATCATGATCTACGCGCGCATTCCAGTCTCCTCCAATTAGGATCATGTCGCCTCTCGGTGATGTTATTAATAGTTTGAGTTCCGCATAGAAGCATATCCTTATCGGGGTCATCTGCACATAAAGCTGAAGCATACACTGATGACCGAAATATTGCAGAACTTTCCATTGAAACACGCGTAGGCTCTACGGTCATTTATAGGTTTCCATTCAATCAGAGTAAATTCTATGCTTTTGCCTAGGACTTCTATTATTATTATTATTACTATAGGGCCCGGATTGTATATTTATCGCATGTACCACCGGCTCAGAAGTAACATGAGCGTCGGGAGACGCCGAAGTCGTGTCAAAGAAATTTGACCCTTTCACCATAGAGTCATTTGGGGATAGAGATGCAGATGGATCCCCAGCAACCACCCGGATTTTTGACATCACGACAGGTTTACTCCTGTCAAAGACAAAAAAAGAGATAATCAAATTTAAAAAAGAGAAATTTAAATATAATTAAAAAGAAAATACAAAGAAAAGTAATAAATATATATTATATATAGATTAAAATATATATATAAATAATTTAATTTGTAATTTGCTAGATTAAAGAAAATTTAGCTTAGCTTAGTTTATGCGAATGTTGTGTAAGAGAAATAGTAGAACGAAATAGAAAAAAAACCGACCGCTCTGGAAACAAAAAATTTTTAATCTCCATTATCATTACTATTATTATTTGTTTGTTCGTTATTATTAATTATTTATTTATTAATTATTTATTAATTATTTAATTACTATAATTATTTTTTTATTATTTATTAATATTTATATTAATATTTATTATATTTATAACCGAAGATTTGAGAATGAATGCACTCTTGAGCCAGAGTAATTGGCATGAAATCTATCAAAGGAAATGAGCAACTGTTCATCGACTTTCTGCACGAATGATGAGGTGTAGCAGGAACGACAAAATGCTTATGAACGTCCCAAGGTAAGCGATCACTGTCCGCACTCTTCTTAGATATCGTGTGGGTGGTCCGCTTGTTAGAGGTCTAGTCTTATTCATTTCCGGTCTCAAGCAATTAAACCTGGCTCCAAGTATTAGGCATATTATTATGGTGTTTGTGATAACTGAGGCAAAGTGGCGCAATGATGGTAATGTCTGAAAAAGCTCAGTCAGCTCTGATAAAAGCCGATAAACTACCGTATGGTTTATGCTCGCTTCAAAGGAAAGTTCATTAATATTTCGGCATCAGTGCATATAGTCCAATATGATAATAGATGATCGTGGCAAGGATAAGTTCTATTCCAACTATTAAGATCTCTACCGAAAGGTGACATAACCATGATCGGGTGAAATTGGAATACGCGCGAAGGTTACGATGCCACTGCGATGGACTTAGAATACATGCTTCTGACATCAAAGAAAATAATCACGTTGAACTCCCAAGATAACCAACACTTCAACCAGATTGATTATATCCTAGTCAGTCACTCTTGGAAGAGTTCCCTACTAGATAATAGCTGATATCACGGAAATGCCGAAATTGCGAACATCAGCAGAACATGAAATAATCTAGAAGTTTAAGGTCAATAAAACTTGGAGAGAAGATGGTCTCCGAACTGAATTCTTCAAATGTACTTGTACTTCCAAATGTACTTCCTCGTATGGAAAAAAGAAATAATACCAGATGACTACCGGACCAAAGCAATTCTGCCCCCATTTCCCAAGAAGGGTAACAACTGTTATAATTATCGAGGAACCAGCCTAATAGACTTCTCAGACATCTCATGACGGATTGCTGCTCGAGAGATCATTCGACTCAAAAATGCATTTTACTAGCGTACTTAAGCACAGAACTGGTTCATAAAGGCTATGCCCTTTCCGCTACAATATTCATATTCAGGAATGTGATCGAATGAATAATTGACTTCGCTTGTCCAAGAGATATAAAGAGAGCCCAGAGCATAGTATCATAGACCCTGAATATACTGATGATGTAATTCTTTTTGTTGGCAATTATGCTCTAACCAGCGAAATCGCTGCTCTGTGCTGGTAATATTCAGTAAATCAATAAGAAACCTCACCATTACTGGTTAAGTTCGCTCCGCTGGCTTGTCGCGTTGGAAATGATAAGAAATTGGCGATAGAAATATAGATTAGTCGCCAGCATCACCCAAATTTTTGGACAGGTTTACTCCTGCGGGGAATCGAACCTCAACATCAGCGCTCCGAATTTAGCAGTAACCCACTGAATCATACTATCTACTGATGATTTGATAATTTCGTCTTTCGATTGGCCACCTGAGATTAGAATGAATATTCCAAGATATTCAAAATTTATTACCTCAACTGAGGATGAATTGATGAAAATAGGTATTTTATCAGCTTACGGTAATAGGTATATAAGACGAAAAGGTTTTCGCTTTATTTACATTGATAAGTCCGACTTTCGCTGTAGTTGTCGGCATCATAATCGTCAACAAAAAGGGTTACAAAAAGGATTATTCTTCATCGTCCACCACAGAAGTTGCCACCACAGAAGGTGCGAGGCTAGAATGGTTGTGGGGTTAGAATGGCTCAGTGGATTGTCGCTCAGTTGGGAGTGCCGATACTGAGGTTCGTTCCTCGTGTTTCTTGTATTTCTATCGCCAAGGAACTCCTTGGCATATTGCACAATGCGACAAGCCAGTGGAGCGAGTTTACCCAGTAATGATGCGGACACTTTAAAAGGAAAGAAAAAGGAAACAGAAGTTGATACATATTTCGTTATTTGCTAAACCTTATGGTTAACAGCATCAAAGCGATATATGGAACCAGATGATGAAAAATGGAGTAGTTCCTATTAGCATATCCTTTTAGGCAGTCTAATCAGCTATGATAGCTAGCAGAAGATATATATTACTATTATATAACTATAACTATTACCATTATTATATAAGTTTTTAGTAATTTTGTATATTATTCTATCAACGGATGAGAAAATTTCTATAAAATTGAAACTTCAATATTAACTCACATCTTTAAAATTTGTCGTCCTCATTTCCGTAATAAAGCAATTTTTTCCTTTTTTTAAAGAGCGATTGCCCATTGCTGGTTAACAATAGAAGTACAAGAGAGTTGCCAGCAGTACCCGAATATTCGGAAGTTTGCTCCTTCTCTCGTTGCCATTCCTCCATGCTGCAGCCAGAGGAAGTACGGCACGTCCGCCGGATTCGAACTCAAGCCTCGATCCTTAGTGGCAATTATCTCGTCATTGAGCCATCGATACACCAACATCACAATTAAGAAAAAGAAAAATTACCAAATTTACGGATGTGAAAATTTAGAACTTCGTCACATCGCTTCCCTTATTCTTAGCTGGGTGATTGGAAAATAGATATACTGCAGTCATTAATTCTCGGACTCCGGAAGATCATCCCCTCTAATGTTGGTTCACCGAATGCATAGTTATGGATACAAGGCTGAAAACGCTAGGATAAGGGTTTTCGTGCGAGGGACTAATGGTGCGGTCGGTACAGTCTATGGTGACCGAATTTTTAAAATGCAGCCGAACATGCAGCCATGAGGGGAGTTACAGATTGGAAATATATATTTGTATATCTGAAATTCCAATGTTGAAAAAACTTTTTGCATTTCTAATTTTGGGATGAGGGGAGTTATGCTTCCACCAATTATCGAACATGACCAAAATCTGTTCTATTTTATGCCGCGCAACCCCTCATTATTTATATTTTTAGGTGTCGTCATAATTGTGCGAAATTCTATTAATGGTTTTAAATATTTCTTTGTTAGCGTTCATTAAAAATTAATTAAAATTAGAAAATGAGTAACGTATCACAGCGAGCATTCGCTTCAAAACGCAACAAGTTGGTTCTTTAAATTTTTAAAGCCTTCGCTTATTTTATCATTTGAAACCATTCATTTATTTTCTGAAAAACCTTTTATTTTAATCAGTTTCGTGCTTAGTTTATTTTTGTAGATAACGCATTAATTTTTGGATAATTTAGAATGTCAAAGTTCGAAAAACTAAACCGAAAAAGGGAAATGAGTTTTTGAAACGAAATTGTTGCTGCAGTTTTTGAAAATTAAATACGAGGATTGTTATTTTTTGTTGCTTGCGATTGTCTGACTTGGAAGCATCCGTGAGGAGTCGCACTTCTTCTTGTCTTCCCCTCCCCAGTTCTGTTCTCTCCGCTCTCGCAGTGTGTTCTCTTTAGTGGCAAGTCGACGAATAATCTTTCTCCCTCCCAGCGCTGCCACAATCTCTTTCATCTTGTAGTGTTCCATTCCTCATTAATTTTTTTTACTCTCCGTTAAAGGTTGAAGGCCCATCGACCAGACATGGCTTTTTTTTAAAAAATAAAGGATTTGGCGAATCAGTAAAATGAACAATTTTTTAAAATTAAATATAAATTATGTATAAATTCGATATATAAATGATCAGAATAATTGTATGAATTTCATACTTATGTGCAAAATTTTTCTTTCTGGCTTTTTCCATTCTAAAGCAATAAAAAATTTCCAGAATGACTGCAGCCGATGTTCGTCGTCATATTATGACAGGAAGTCTTCTTTTGCATCCACAGAACAAGGAATCGAATAATGCATCTTGTCAGTCGTCGCATTTTGTATGCTTTTTTATGGCAACACTAAAATTATTTTTTGTTGTTATTTATTTATTTAATTAGCATTGCTCCAAAAAACTTGTCCATATTGTTAAAAGGTTCTTAAAGTAAAATTATTTTTTAAAAGAAAAATCACAGGCTCTTCTCCATTTATGGATCAAAAATATCAATCTTTCCATTCCCTTATGTTTCTTGATTTTATGCAGTTATCTTTGCATATTTTTTGAAATAAAATTGTAAAGTTTGTTAAAATATTAATTGAAAAATATTTTGTCCATTTGAAATATTTTGTCCATTTATGATTGCAATATTTATTTATTTAATTACTTAAAAATAAAAATCATCGCAAAAATTATTTTTTATATTGTTTTGCAAAAAAAGTTATAATATAAAATGTTATTTTAATTAATTTTACATTTGTTTTAAAAATTCCTTTATTTTTAATAATTTCGCAAATTGAAAAATTAAATAATTTGGATTATCAGTTTTTAATTTTTTAATTTTAGCTGAATTTAATCGAAATTGTTGAACCAATTGATATTGAAGATTTATTAGCACAGCGAAAGAATAATTCTCTCTATGAGCATTCAAATACTGCAGCAAGTCCAAGACGGTTTGTCAGAATTTTTTATTACATCTAATAGTTATTAGTTATTATTACATCTAATAGTTATTAGTTATTATTACATCTAATAGTTTTTTTAAAGAAAACTTTATTTTTGTAGTTTTATTTCACAAATATTTCAAATATTTCATTATTCGTTATAAAATTTTTTCTTTATTTTCTTTTTATTATTTTTCCGTTATTTTGTTTAGATTTACGGATTTTCCGTCAGATGATATTGAAGTCCGCTTGGTTCAAAGAGAACGATTTACTGTAGAATCACCAGTGCCAACAGCAATATCAGAGTAGATTGTTTTAGATTAATTTTTAGTTAAATTAAATTTTTTGGATTTATTTAACCACTGTTAATACTACTATTTCAGAATTTTGTGAATTATATCTACAAATTAGGATTTAAGTTAACGCTTTTTATTTGAAATATTTCAGTGTGGATCCTATTGTTAAAGATATCATTAATACATATGATGATGATTTTTCACTGGTGCAACGACTATATCACCAATTTTCAAGTGGTGATGCTTATATAAGAATGCAGATGGAACGGCCTATCATTGCGCGCTCAACACAAAGGCAGATTTATGAAACAGAAATAGAGCGATGCTTGCGTCGGAGTGCAAGCGTTGTAAATGATGAACAAGTTAGTTGGATATTTTTATAATCGCTATATTATATTTTTATGATACTTGAATTTTTCGTCTATTTTGAAATCAAAAGTAACTAGTTTATATGGGAGCATGGAGCAGTAGTATCAAAAACCTAGCCCCAACTTCAAAACTAATTTAAGTTCAATCTAGGTTATATTATATTAATTTAAAATAGGATTGATCTGCCAAATATTGTAAGTATTCTGATATCGAAGTCACCATCGAATATAAGTCGTAATTTTAAGTTCAATCTAGGTTATATTATATTAATTTAAAATAGGATTGATCTGCCAAATATTGTAAGTATTCTGATATCGAAGTCACCATCGAATATAAGTTGCTTTTAATTTATGATGCATTTACTGTTGAGATATTGCTTCGGCTGTTCCATTCATTGTAGCTTTTCGCATAATCTTTGATTATTTGATCTTTGCTTATCTAATTTTTTACATTTTGCCAAAATTTTTTAACTTGTTTATTTATTTATCTAACTAATTTATCTTAAATTGTTTAATTAGGCCGTTCGGCAAATAGATTGCAAGAATGCATTTAGATCTTTTCTTTGGATCTTTTCAAGTTATAAGCTTAGAACTAAAATATTATATTGTAATTATTAGATGGTTTTACTTTTTTTTTTGAGTAAATAGGTTTTTTTTTGAAATTGAAAAGGCGCATTGAGAAAGAGTTTAATTGAACAAATTTAGGAAGATCTAAAAGCTCGTCTAAAAACAAAAAAAAGTTGAGGTAAAATATTTAAAGGTGAAGCTCATAAAATTATTTAAACGTCTTTTCTTTAAAACAGTTGATGAATCACTTTGAGCTCTTTTTATCTGCCTGTTTCTTTTTGTTGTAAATTTACTTTCACACTGTTAGTTATATTTTTTAAAATTATATTATTTTATTTTTGCGCAATTGAACATGTTTTGACATATTTCTGAACATAATTGAATGTACGTTGTTATTTTTTTCTGTTTCGATAATTTATAGCTCCAAAAAAGCAACTCATAAAATTGCTTATTCCTTAGAAATTACATATTTTTTTCTGAAATGAGCAAAACAAATGGATTTTTTTTTTCAAATTTTCTCACTGATGATAATAATATAAAGGGCGTAAAGCGTGATTCGTACGGTTCGCATTATTCAATGGATTCCATGTGTACCGTCGGCTCATCTTCAGGCGGAATAGCTCGAGACGAAAATATTTGTCCTCACCAGCTTAATTCTTCAGCCAGCGATCCAATTGTGCACGGTAATCATTTTTGATCTCCTTGTTCACGTATATTGGTCTCCAAAATTTTGTATTTATGAATTTCTAGATGATAGTAGACTCTAATTTCGAATTCTTAGGTTGCAGATGCGAGTTCTGATAGAACTGCGGTTCCGTTTCTTTTGTTGCCACAGAATTAAAAATAAATCTTAGTAATTTCAGGCGTAATCCAGCGCATATCAACAACACAGCTGGATCAAATAAATGAGACGCGTCGTTTGTCTGGTCGTCATAATTTGTTAATAAACTTATTGACGCCACAAGTTGAGGTTTGATATTATGTTTGATAAGTTGAGGTAATAAATTTGATATTTTCTTTTTCAGAAAATTTAAATTTTAACGAGTCTTTCTGTGTTAAATTCTTGTCTGTACTTTGTTATTATCAAACTGTTTTTTAGGCTGATGTTGTTGAACGACGTTCTCCAGCTCCATTTCCTTCAGAGCCGAGTGGCCAGAAGTTACTTATCAAAATTTTAAATGTTAATTTGTGAATATTGATAAAATTGCTTCAATTTTAATTTGAATTTTAATTTAAATTTTTTTTTATTAATTATTTTATTTTTAGTCAATTTTTAGTGATTTATACTTTTAAATTCATTTCAGCTTCAATTGGAACCAAAATTCGAACCGATATTTGGCTCTATTGCTTTATTTGATGTGAAGGATAAGCGGAAGGTTTTAAATTAGCTTAAAAATTGCTTATTTCGGTTGTTTTTTATTTTTTTTATTTTTTTATTTTGCTATTTCATTGGGTTCTTTTTTTGAAAAGTGTTGAAAAAATTTTTTCTGGGAAAAAGTCTCATTTTCTTTTTTTTGAGGATTCTAGGTAAATTTTTATTGAAGATTTCGGAGAATTTTTATTTCGATTTGAATGATGATTCGCTACGCGAAATGATTTCACGTCATGTTGCTCGAGTCGATGATACTAGTAAATGTACACAGGCACTTTTCAGCATAAATCGTGCTATCAGTGATGTTTTTATTGTCATTAAGGTTTAATCAAGCTTATCCATTTATTACTAATTTTTATCATTAATTAATTTTTCCTTTACTTTCATATGGTTTTCAAACAAAATAGTTTTTTTTTCCGATTAATACCATTAACATCTTATTTCATTGATTACATCAAATTATTTTTTTTACTGTTTTGAAAAATTCTAGTTAGAAGCAATAAAAATGCATGAAAATCATTGTATACAAATTTTTTCTTCGAAAGTAACATTAAAAATTGAAAATCTGAAATGGAGCAAAAAAATTTTTCCAATTGGATAGGTGATTTATTTTAGTTGGAGAAAATTCTACAACCCTGTGATATAAGCGATACCTGTGAACCGTATATAAAAGAAGATGTAAATAAAGAACGGCTTTCTCAAGTAGCTCGTCAGTATTGTGATAGGCTTGGTGCATATAGAATGCCGTTAGGTTGGGTTGCAATTGACTTAATGCGTTTACTGAATGGGGCTCAATCTTTGGAGAAAAATGACACATCAAGCTTGGGTACGGGTGCCCTGCAACAATCACTTGTTCGATGTTTGCTTTTCATTCATTTTTACTTAAATTCATTTAATTCATCTTTAATCTTCTAAAGAATTATCATTGAAATTTCAATATAGATAATTATTTAATTAACCATTTTATTAATTGCAAGAAAATGTGAAATTTCTGTAAAATTAAAATAAAATATGAAAAATGAAAATTTCAGCTGAAGCAGAATATCTTTCAATTTCTCCTGTTCCTTTCTGTGATACTGACAGTATAATTAGCGCTGGTATGGTTTAATTTCATTTTAATAATTTGTCTATATTCGTAAAATTCCTATTGTATCCTATTATTCCTATTATTTATTATTTATTTTATGAATTCATTGAATATTTACTCAGTAATTTCGATTTTAGATAGAGTATCATGTTCAACTTTGGGCACATTTCGAAGAATCGGCAGTGCTACGTCGTCAACAGTGTTTATTAATAATCAGAAGTCTCGCACACCCCTTCAAAAACGTAAAGCAGCTGCAGTGTATTATGGACAAGTAGATGCGATTTCAGCTGCTGAATCAATTGAACTTCTTGGCAAAGAATCGAATTTCGATGCTTCATCATTTGCTGGTCTTCAGCCTCTTTTGTTGAATCTGAATTCTTTCTTCCGACAAGTGATATTGTTTTTCTTTTTAATATTAAAGAGCCATTTTGTCTCTATAGCAATTCAATATCAGAGTGCCGTTTTTTTTTTCAAAAATATTGCTAGGAAGCTGATCGGTTGAGTGATGAAGATCTTTGCAAAATGTTGGCCGAAAGTCGAAAAGGTGGTTCAAAAATAGCTCGACTTAAAACTTTCCCAGTTAGTCTAAAAATGGAAATTTCAAAAGGAAACCGTGAATCTTTAATGAGGTTTGCTTCAGATGGTTCACTTCTTGTGAAAAAGGAATTTTTTGGTAAAATATAAAATAAGAATTATTTTTGATTTTTGATTTCATACTATTACTCTTTTTCGTTGAAAAACTAATTCGATTAATAATTTTAAGGTTTTTAAACTTCATTTTTAATTTCTTTATTTTTTTGCATTAGATTTACTCCTGAGCTTTTACGAGTGCATCCTTATGTTTCTGGAAACACGTCAGATATGGTGAAAGAAGTTGTTGAATTTCCAGGCAAAGGTGTATACACAGTAAATGCTTTTTATAGGTACTTCTTTATATCACTTTTAGCTTTTCAGATAATCATTTTAAAAAAAGTTGTTTTGTCACTGAGGAAGCAGGAAATTAGAAATATCGACTCTTTTTGAATTTATCACAAAATCACTTTCTTATCACATGCTTTCTCACTTGTTTCATTATTCAAGTTTTATCCTTCAGGAATCTATTGTTTGTGTATCCTCGGTATGTAAATTTGTCTAGTCGATCTGGTGCTCGTAATATATCGATTCGTGTAGAGCTAATGGATAGTCACGAACATCCAGTGCATTCATTATTCGGCAAATCTAGTTGTACAGCCATAAGTTCCTCAGTAAATACATCTGTTTCTTACCATATAAAGTTAGATTTTTATTACTGATTTAAAGAAACACTTTCAGCGGCACTAAAAATGTTCTCTGCGTTTGGAAAGATTTAGTAAAAAATGTTTTGCAATTTATGTGATTGCCTTCGAATAGATAGATAGAAAATCATTATTTGTATGGTTCATCTCTTATATATTTTTTTTTGTCTAGATATCATTTTTTTGTCTCGTTATTTCTTTTATCTTCTCATACCACTGCTGCTTTGGCTGTCTCCAGTGACTGGAATAAACCGTTTCCAAACCCCATCTGATCCTAAAAATATCTAAATCCATTCCTTTTCCCTTCATATAAGCTCGTATATTTCATTCCTTTCCTTATCATTCCTTGTCTTGACTACTTTTCCTCTCTTTAAGATATCTGTCGAAGGAATACCGTTTGACAGCGCGAGAAGTGCACTAGTTCTTGTAATTACGAAAATAATATAGCCTAAATAGCGGAAACCACGTTTTTGGCAATATTATTAATGCTGATGGTATTCGAATGAAAGTGAATGCAATCACATAAGGCTTTATCCACTTGTCAGACATGCACCTCAGAAATTGTCAAAACAAATAACTTTCTGATGTCTTCCACTCTTCTTGGCCATGATTCGGATCCATATAATATTTGTGCGTCCTGTAGTTAGACAGATGAAAAAAATTTGATTTGAGATTGAATTCGTTGCTATTCCGGAGAGGCTTTATCAGGTGAAAGGAAGACTCTTCTTTTTGCAGCTATCTGGACTAGAATTTCTTTCACCTAGTCATTTAAGGGAGTTAAGAGAGGATAGGGTGTAGTTAATGTCTGACACTTCTCGAACCGTTAATGAATTCATTGAAAATGGCATTTGGTATATAGGATGAAGAGTTTTCGTCTGATTTACATTGATTTGAAGGTCATTTTTCGTTGCTGCTGTTGTCGATGTTGTCTAATTTGTTGACGGATTCAAACTTTTTAAAGTTCATTTTTTTACTTTTAGAGCTCCTAATTTTTATGATGAAATAAAAATTGCGATACCTGTCAATCTGAATGATGGTCATCATCTTTTGTTCACTTTTTATCATATCACTTGTAAACAAAATAAAGTGGAAGAAGAAGTTGAAATGCCCATCGGATATTCGGTAAATCTTGATTCTTTTATTTGTATAATTAGAGATGCGTTTAATCTATAACGTTGTTCCATGTAATAACTATGTGTTTTTATCTAATTATTCAAATTTTTTATTGTAGCCTTGTAGTTTTCGGGAAAATTTCATCTTATTTCCTTTCCACTCATCCTTAATTTAAATTTTATTGAAGCTTTAATCAGTACGTTGCTTTTAAGTGGATACCATTATATAAAGAAGGACATCTACAAACGGGTGACTTCATTCTTCCAATAGCTCTGGAACGGTTACCGATGAGTTATGGCTATCTGTCGCCTGAAGTGAATCTGCCAAATATAAAATGGCTTGAAGGTCATAAGCCATTATTTAATGTTACTTTAGAAGCTGTCTCGACAGTTCATACTCAGGTTTTAAATTTAAAAATTTTTTATTCACTACTGGATTTTATAATGTATTTTTTAATGAATAAGATCCTTCTAGGATCGTCATATCGATGCATTTCTTCACGCTTACCAGTCATTAGTTTCTTCAAATAATCCGTCAATTTGCGAAGAAAATCTGAAAATATTGATACGTGGGCTGATAAAAGCTCGTCCCGAGCCTATGGTCGCATTTCTTTATATAATTATGGATAAGCTACTCGGATTGATTGCAAATCCGCCTTTTTCAGGTTTGATGCATGAGAAGTTAATACTTTAAGTCTTTTAAAGACGATTTTAACTATATGTTTTATAGTTATAGTTTGATTTATAGATTTGCAAAAATTTCAGCTGCTGTTTCTGCTGTGTGCTTTGAAGTGTTAGGGCAGCTTGTCAAGATATGCACTGTGCTTTTAGATGGTTTTAGTGATGCTCACGGACGAAGTTCCCTCCTTACTACCTATATCCATTACCACAAAATTTCTCTTAAAGGTGAAATTTTTATTTTACTTAGTTACAAAAATTTTTAAAATTATTTTATTAACTTATTATATTTTATTACTTAATTATTAATTTTGAAATATTTTTGAAGGATCGAATTTAGAATTACATGGCACGTACAACAGACATAATTCTCGCATGGACCATAGCAGTCAATCTTCTGATTCCTCCGAAAGTCGGCAGTTGATAGATTTAATAAGTAGGTGTTTAATGGACATTTTAGATCATGGCACTGGATATTTAAAAAATTTTTGGTCTGAATTTTCAGAAGACTTTGAACGCTCTACGTTCATGAAAGCCTCCGGCGAAGATGATATGAAAGGAGCATCAACTAAGGTATGGAAATACTAATTTTAAATTATCAGTAATTGTTGATTGTTTACATTTCCATTGTTTCTTTGTATAGCTAGATTTTTCTGTTTTTATCAACGTCTTTTTCGTTAATTTATTCAATAGTTTTTTATTTGCATTGTTTTTTAAGAGCATTGTTGTTTTTTTAAATATGTTAATGCTGTTTGATGGATATCTATCCAATGTTAATAGAATATTTTAGAAATATTTTTAGAATATTTTAGAAATCTTAAGAATTTTAAGATTTTTAAGATTCAAAATTTTCAGTTAATGCATGAAGAAATTGTTCTTCAGTGGGTTACAAGTTGTTCGGCTGCAAGAGAAATGGCGTTTCTAAATGCTTGGTTTTTTCTCGAGCTTATGGCAAATTTTTTCTCTTATCTTTTTTATTTAATATATGTTCAATTTTTAAAAACTAGTATCAAAAATGTAATAAAACTGATGTTTCAGGTAAAATCAATGGCGGAATATTTATCGATATCAAATCGACTATATTTGCCTCGCAAATTGAGATTTAGTGAGACATTCATACAGGACTTGAATGTATTATCATTTGCAATTATCGCTGAAGTTATTGCGCGTGCAGCTAAAGATCCGCGCCAGGTTTCGACTTATAATGTATTTTATGAATCTTTCTCAGTGTTGCCTTGATGCTTTCTGTTTCGTTGATTATTAAATGAAATCAGTTTATAAGTTTGTAATTCCTGTTTTGTGATCACTTTAATTTGTTTTATTTTTTTACTATTTTTTCCGCTGCTGAAAATTGAGAATAATTGAATTCTTTCTCTTCAAATTTTATTAATTTTGTCTTTTTAGATTTTATGCATTTTTTGGAAATGCGAAATAAATCTCTAACAGTAGTGATATATTGTGAGATTATCTGAATTGCATAGAATTTGGTGAACATTAAGACTAGAATTAGAATCGAATTTAAATTTTTCATTTATTTCCCACTAATTTTTAAATTTGCTAAAGAATTCCAATTTATTTGATTGTTTTCTTATGCAGGCTAAGTGTATCAGTGCTTCATGGGCGTTTTTTCTCCGCGATTCTTTTTCTCTAATGGATCGTTCTTACATTATGAACCTAATTAGAGTTTTCAATCGGGATCTAGCTACAAAAATATCGTAATTTTTCTATCCATATTTTTTCATCTCAGTGATCTTTTAATTTCTCGTATAATAATACTTTTAATCATATAATAATAATAATATTTAATCGTCATATTTCTTTAGTTCTTCATCCGATCCACTTACAATAACATTAATGTTAATAAAATTGGATTTTATTCGTATAGTTTCATCGCATGAGCATTTTATTATGCTAAATATACCATTCGCAACTGTGCCTTTATCCATGACAACCAGTCATTCTGGAGGTTCTTTTAATGTTAGTTATATTAATATTAATGTTAGTTATAGTAATGTTAGTTAGCTATATAGTTCTTGATTATTCTTTCATTTTTCTTTTTTTGTACGCGTTATTGATTTTGTGAAGTCAACTTGCAGTCAACTTTGTCAAGTGGATCATCTGATGGCATGTCCATAACTAGAAATATTTGCCAAGCTGTTGCCCCACAAGTGCATCCACATAGTCCAAGCAACTCAAGTCTTTGTAGCAGGTAATTAAAATTTCTTTTCAGCGTTAAGTTCAATCGGAAAATCAGATTTATATTCTTTATTCTTTTAATCTGCAGATCTTCTAGTCAAGTAGCCGAATCACATGGATCCATTGGCTCCTTAGAACTCACTCCTGAATTCAGATCCAGACACTTTTTAATTGGTTTGGCTTTAGCTGATCTAGCTGCCGTTTTAGAAACTTCTAGCGATTTACTTCATGCAAGGTTTCTCTTTACCATTTTTTTTTTATTTCTAATATATTTCTAATATAATATATTGCTGATGCAGTACGCATTTTTTATTCAAATTATTTTGATTTATGTTTGGAATATAATACAATATACTGCTTGTTTATGTTTGGAATATAATATTGCAGTATATTTCGATGCCAATAGAACTTTTTTGTATTGCAATTTTTAGGGCTATTACGCTTATAAGGAATTTATTGTCGACTCACGAAGCTGATTCTCGACTTCTTGATCCATCTGTTAAAGCTCGTGTCGCATCACTTTACTTGCCTCTTATTGGAATAGTATTAGATGCATCTGCACAGCTTTACGATCCTTACTGGAAGGGTTTGTCTACGAGAAACAGCGTTTGCTATGGAATTTCTAATTCGATTAGGTTATTCTATTGTATAGATGCAATATTCCAAAAAAAAAAAACAATAATAGTGTACTTGATTCGATTCAAATCTCAAAAGCCGATTTATCACACTTTTATTAATTATATTAAAAATATATTAGCTCCTCTATCCACTTTCTTCTCATTGGTACTTCCTCTTTTTGATCTTAATATCAATAAAAAGAAAATCGTTATTTTTAATATAAATGAAATTCTTCTGCCTGAAATTTCTTTAATTTTACATGGAACACTAAAGAATTTTATTTATTTATTTATCCTATTTATTTATCTTGTTTATTTCAAATACTTTTTGATTACTCACATTAAGCCGGCCATATAATGAAGGCGATGGCACTGCAACTTTAAACGATAAGCTTATGCTAGCAATAGGCGGAATGAATATTTCTTCACCTACATCTCCACAAATAGATCGCCTGGTTATACCAGTCGTCAGACCTATTCTTTCATCGGAATGCACTCGTCAGGTTCATATTTTTTAAATATATGTCTGGATGATTATTTGTTTTGTTATTTTTATAAAATTTCTATTTCAATTTTTTTTTTCAGTTACTCGCATGCTTTTGTTGGACTTTAAAAAATATGGAACGTCAAGTTCTTCGCCATTGGATATGTGATCTTATTCCGCATCGCCTTTCATTGTTTCTTGATGTGCTTCAGTTATCTGTTTCTTGCTTCGAATATAAATGCGCTATCACTACTATGGTAATTTTTGTTGGACATGCCACAAAATATTTTCAATTTATTTTTACAGTTTTTTAAAGGTGAATAATGAGATTGCTGAGGAAAACAACTGGGGAAAGTCAGATGATGTCGGCGTAGAGCAGTTTACTTCCAAGGAACTGATGAAGAAAAAATCACGAAATTGCGAAAATGAAGGTATCAGATGGCGTAAAGAAAATAATGACAAAGATTCATGGAAAAGAAACAGTATCGGAGATCAGCTGAATGAAGAAAATGCGAGTTGGTTTCAAATTTTTTATCTGTTTTACATGCTAGAAAATGATCCTTTTTCTTAAAACCATTTTTCGCATATTAAATTTTTATAAAAACTTGCTTCAGTGAAGAAATAATATAGGTTCAATTGAATATGAACGCACTTAAATGAGTGAATTTGATTCTGCAACAAATTTTTTTTTTCTGTCTTTTTTTCTTGATGATTATTGCTTGTTATAAAATGGTTATTTTTATTCAGCAGTTAATGATGATGAGGCTACTTTGGAAGCATCATTGTGTACTGAAATTCCTTTAATTGTTTTGGACACTCTCGAACTAATTTTGCGTATTGTATCCATTCCTGGGTCTGACCAACTTTTTTTTGTTTTGTCGTCCGTCTTGCGAATCTTGGTTTGTTCAATTACTTTTAGGCATAGTATTCGAGATCTCTTTGAAAAAGTATTGTTTTGATATTCGTTTGAAGAATTTATTTACTTTTGAAAAAAATTTATAGGCTAATAAATTGAGTTATACGAATCATATGAATGGAATGTAGCTTTTGTTAGGAATCATGAAAAGCACTACGTATAATAGATTTTGAACTTGAAAAAGTTTTTTTTTCTTAGAAATTTAATTAGTGATATTTTTACTATTTAAACATAATTTCTAGAACTTTTATTTTCCAGATGCATATGCTTGCTTGTAATCAATCAGTGGAAACGCTGGAAAATATATTTGCCAGTCAACGCGCTATTGTCATTAAATACCCGGATCTACTTTTTGAACAAGTATATAAGTTTATATCAGTAAGGAATATCAAATCTTAATAGGGGCATTCTAGACATTCTTTGTAGGAAACTGAACAATGCGCTGAATTATGCTTGCATCTTCTACGGCACTGCGCCTCTCGGCTACCTATGATCCGTTCACAGGTCATTTTCACTCATTCGTTCTTTTGTATTCAAGGTTTTAAAAAAGTACAATATGGAAAAGTGGTATCTGCAGTTAGAGAAAAATATCATTTGTATTTTAAAAAATTATTGCTTCTTTAGCTGGTTTCTTTATGTTTTGAAGAAAAAACACTTTAAATAATTAGTCATCAGTTATCGTTGGAAGAATGCAGTATCAGATAGTCGCTTCTATCGTGGTGCTAAAACAGAATATTTTCTTGGGTCTGATCATGTTATGGTTCGAGCCAAGATCCGCATAAAAGTTCAACTCGCAAGAAGCAGCGTTTCCCAACATCTTTTAACTATATCAAACTAAAAGATTCGGGAATAATGAGCGCATTTTAGAACGAATTGATGCACCTATGTGATATAAATATCAATGATTTTTATGAAGCGGCAGATGAATACTGGCCCCAAGTAATGTCTTCGAAAATCAGCTTTTACATTAGAATATATTAGTGCGCAAAATGGTATCAGCTGTCTAATTTTCCAACTGTCCGAAGCAACTAAAGTATGAATGACCTGGATACCTGGCTAGTGGATGCTTCGAAGAATTATAATGACAGTAGCTTGTCCGAACAGAGATAACATGGGAGTTATATAGCCTTGAAAATGAAGGCAGCTCGATTAAACGTTAGTAGAAAACTGTTGTGCCTTCACTAAGCTCGGGGAACACTCAGTGAAATGGTATGGGATAGCAATGCCTGTTAAGACTATTAAATTTCACCTTTTAAGATGAAAGAAATTCTTTGAGGCCAAACTTAACCGTGATGTGCCATCTGTGGTCCTGGACATAGCTGATTGGCTCGTTGAACCATACTTTCGCCCATAAATGTAAGATCAATAAAACTCCTGGTGAAGATGGTTTTCGAGCCGAACTCTTCAAATTTTCCTATCATCCTTCATAAAACACAAATGTATTCTGTGGTATGGAAGAAAGAAATGATAACAGATAACTGGAGTAAAAGTTTTGCTTCTAATTCCAGTGAAAGATGAAAGGAAAGGAAAGGATACAATGACCCACCCTTTAAAAATTTCCGGGAAATTTTTCGTTTCCTTCTGCTGAATAGATTTATGGCACTACGAGCTCTAATCGAACTGGATTTGTGCTGACCAGATATGTTAAAAAGGATATTTAGAAAGGATAAATGATTACTTGAAATATCTGGAACTTTTCTATTTGTTTCTTGATTTAGCCTTCGACTCATTTGGTAGAGCAGTGCTTTGCAGTTTGTTCTAGAGAAGATCATTCGCATCATAAAGGCATTTTATTAATGTTCGTCGGCACAGATCTGTGTATATGGGGAACTGGCAAATCCTTTCGAAATAAATACTGCTCTCCTTTCCTCTACAATACTATGCTATAGACTGGATAATGGACATCGCTTGTGGCACCCAAAAGGTGTAAAAGTCAATCCAGAGCATTCTATCTTGGATACGCTGAAGTTTTGAGTTATGATGAAATGCAAATATTGCTAAACAATGATCAACAACACTGCTACAAGAATTGCAAAAAAGAATTCAATGTAATATATTTCACAACATGAAATTTAATGAACAAAGATTCTATATATATATATATATATATATAAAAGTAATATGTATAATGAAATATATATTGGTTAAATAGTGGATGGCAATATGTTAAAAAATATCATATATTCTTTCCAAGAATGAAGTTTACACATTTTGATGAGTGGTTTCCTATTATTAATGGAGATTGGTGTGGTGAAGCAATTTAAATAATTTCGAGATATTTCGTAAAAAGTAAAATAAAAGATAAAAAATTCTCGAGATATTTCGTAAAATATTTCTAAATTGCCTACACCATCTTCGTTTTCGAGGTAAACAAAATGAAAATCTTATATATAAGAACACCTATCTACATGAATTCATCGCCTGTTGAAGAATTGCTAGATTTAAATATCTTCTCTATCTACTCCAATCCCAAGTGGCTAATCGAAGGACGAAATTGCAAATTTCAAATATATGTAGTTAGAAATGAGTTTTTTTTTAAATCACCATTAAAACGAAAGTTCGTGTCTATATAATTCACTCGATCTTGCTATATGGCTGCGAGATATGACTGCCAGTGAGAATGGAGACTATCCAGCCTTTGACCACTCATGGTAATAATGCATTTCACAGATACGGAGCGAATGAAATCTCACATGAATGCATCCTTCTTCGCTCAAATACCACTTGCATTAATACTCATTAATACTACCATCATGGCGACGCTTTCGTTAGTTAGGGCGCATTTTTCGTCGTCCACCATGGAATTTGACACATTTTGTTATTTGCTAAACTGTGATGGGTCGTGTATAAAAAAGTTAACTACACGATTTTTGTTGGGAGCGTGGTGATTCTCACTTGCAATATCTATCTTTACAAAGTTCCTTTGGGAATCCGCTCCACTGTGTTTTCTATATAAATTTAATACCTGCCACGCGGGACTTTTCTTTTTTAACAGTATTATAAATTCTGCGGCCGTTCTCTTCTTAGTTATCTCGTTAGGAACCCGCAAACTTGGGTGATTAAACCTTTATTAGTACCAACGCAAAATATATATAAAGCAAAGCGAAAATGTTGTCCTATTACAAAGAAAAATAATATATTACTGAAAAATCGAACATTAAAAAAATATAAATGCCCTGTTCACCCGTCGCTTCCCACTTCTTTTCCCAATAGAAACTTAAAATGGCCAAAAATGGTCTTTTGGGAGCTTATATTTGATTTGAGATGGGAGGAGAGATTTATGGTTCTCAATTGTCTCAAGATAAAGACTATATTCTATCTTCCACTTATGAGGTACTCTACTATTATTCCGTGATATTTTCTAATATTTTCTCCAACTCTTTTCTCTCTTACTTCATTCTTTTGCTGGGCATAGCAGGTGCGATGCAGATGACCTGCTCGTATATTTCTTCGCCATTCGGCGACAGATGGCACCAAGAGCGAGTTGGGCAATCAAGGACTGGACTTTTTCTGACAGCTCTCACCATTACTGGTTAGGCTGGCTCCAACGCCTACAGAGGTAAGACGCTTCCAAGCGACGAGGTCTGATGCCACGGTCTGATGCCATCGTCGACAGTAATAGAAGCTATTCCTTTTTCCATCGCATAGGTCCATATATTGCTGGTCCACCTATACGTTCAAAATCTTTCCTGACCGCATCATTTCAAGTCTTGACCCACCTCACTTTTGATGTCATCCATCACACGGTTTAGTAACGAAATATGCGACAGTTCTTGTGGTTTAGAACGATAGAGAACGTGCCCTAAGGCGATGCTCTGTGATAACATTAATTCAATTGGTATTTGAACGAAGATGAATGCGGTCATGTAATATTTTATCCGCTCGACGGACTCATAAAATGTACCTTAGATAAGACTGGTCAAAGGTAAATAGTTTCTTAATATCCTCCACTCTCATTGGTCGTATCTCAGAGCCATATAGCAAGATTGAACGAATCACGGCTATATGGATGCGGACTTTCGTTTTAATGGTAATTTCACGATGGCTCCATAAAGTTTTCGTCAACCGGAAGAACGCATTTCTAGCTGCAGTGATCCAGGCTATAATATCGTCTTTTGTCTTTCGGATATTTCCCCGACCGGCAATGAATTTACAAAAAGAGGCATTTTATCTTCTTATACAGCTTCTTAAACACATGACGAAAAAACTTTCGTTTTGTATACATTGACACCCTGAGTCCTATTCTTGCTGCAGTTTCTGACACATTATTTAGCATTATTTGCATTTCGTTATAACTGTCAGCAAAAAGGACTGCATCAGCGTATTCAAGATCCGTGATACGATGTTTTGGATTGATTGGACATCTCTTAAGTTCCGAAAAACGGTGTCCTTTATCCAGTTTACCGCATAGGTGAATATTGCTGAGGAAAGGATGCACCTGACGGACACCTGTTCTTGTTTCGAAGGAATCTGTCAGTTCCCCATATATACAGACCTGCGCCGACGTACGCTTATAAAAAATGCCTTTATGAGTCGAATCTTCTCTGGAACACCGTCCCATTCCATCATCTTCCAAAGCGCCTCTTCATCAATTAATCAAAGACAGCCGCAAAGTTGATGGAACACGTGACAGTGGATTGCAAAAATCTGAAGCGATGTTCCAACACCCTTCTTAACGTGAATATGGTCAGCACAACCCCAGGCCCCGGTCTGAATCCAGCTTGATTAACTTGGTAATCCCTGTTATGGTTGCTTTATGAAGAAAGTAGAATAGTTTCCTAAATATCGCCTAATCAAGCAGCTATCTCCAATCTCAAAGCCATGTCACTCCAATAGTGATTTCTGTTCCGCCGTGCTGCTTTCGTTGCAAATCTGTTGCATCCGAATAGTCAGAATAACCTGACATTCGTGTTTCGGCAGCTTTTTAAACAATTGGACAATTACTTCCGATACCCAATGAACTTCCTACTAGCTATCCTTACGTAGAAGTGGCCGATTTTCAGATTCCTTTCTTTAGTTCCTTTAGTTTTGACCAGTATTTGTTTCCCATTCTAGAAAAGTCATTGAGTCATTGATATTTGTATCACTGAGATGTTTCAATAATTCAGTTTGAAATGCGCTTACTGTCCCGAATTTTTTCCCCGAATTTTTTAGTTTGAGATAGTTGATAGTTTAAGGAAATTGGGGGATGGTTTTCTGCAAGTGTTTTATGCGCATCTTGGGTCGAATTATAACATGGTCAGATCCATGAAGATTGTTGTTTCAGCGCCGCGAACGACTATCTGGTACGGAACACTTCCAACTGCTACTGATTATTATATAATCAATCTGGTTGAAAATTGGTTACCGGGGAGCTCCACATGACTAGATGTTTTTAACGATGCCAGAAGTATTAGTAATATAAGTAATAGTAACAAAAAGTTCATGCTTTTCGGCATAATGAAAAAGGCGTTCCCCATTGGCGCACCGGTCTCCGATGCCATATTTGCTAATTGTTGAGGTTATCGCAGCGACATTATGATCTACTCGAGCATTCCAGTCTCCCCCAATTATGACTTTGTCATGTTTCGGTAGAGACTTTGTTAGCAGTTGAAGTTCCGCATAGAATTTATCTTTATCCCAGTCATCTGCCGACAGAGTTGGAGCATAGATACTGATGACCGAGATATTGCAGAACATGTAGCATTGTAATCAAGAAGTGGCCGAACGAATGTTACTCCCCGAAATATCGTAAATTAAGTCAAATAATTGAAGGACTCCAAAAATATTTTATAGGGCGCCTTTCTCCTAATTGCAGTTTTAAAACTTATAAAAGAAACTTCTACAATATAATCTGAATTCTCTTTCAATTCGTCGTATTAAATTAGAAGATTTAATTTATACTTAAAAGATTTTGTATGGTTATGTTAAATTAGATTGTTCAAAAGTTTATAATTTTAGGTTAAATTTAAATCCAACAAGAACTAATGGGCTAAAATTTCTAAAACCTATGTCCAAAATTAAACTAAGAACTCATGACTTCTTTATATGTACTATTAATTACTGGAATAAATTACCGAACGATACAGCTTGTGCATTATCCTTAGCTATCTATGAAAAAAGATTTGATAATATCATTTATGATATTATTTAAAAAGTTCACATCATGCAGGAAATATGAAATCTCGATTTTTACCATTCGATTATTTCGAATTATACTATATTATATTATTTTGTAATTTCCTCTTTCTTTCATCTTTAAATTGTTTATTTTATTTTTTTATTATTATTTTTTGTTTTTATCATTAATTCTTATTATTTATTATTTTAACTGTTGTTATTAATGCAAGCACTGGCGTTTGTACCCTGCTTGGCTGGTTTTCAATTAATATCAATTAATATTTATTTATTTACCCTTGAAACGGGTATAGGCCATACGGTCTCTTACTGGTTTCCACTCAATCAAAGCGGAATGGGCGTTGTCAGACATATAATCGTTATGTCATTTCGTCCCGAGTTATCCGAACCACCACAGTGATATAGCCAGTACCTCTGCTCCAAGCCAGGATTAGCAATTACTTGACACCTGAAGTGAGGAAGATGGACCTCCGACAAGCAGGAGACATCCACACGATATTTAGAAAGGATGTGGATAGTGATCGCTTGACTTGCAACGTCCATAAGCGTTGACGCTCCACGCCGATACGGCTAATACCTCGCCGCGCGTGCTGTTCTCCTTGATAGAATTCGAGCAATACCTTGGCTTACGAGCACATTTTATTTAGTCTTTAGATCGCTTGAGGCTCGGATTTTTATATTTATCACATGTATCACCGGAAGAGCGTCGGGAGATGTGGACGCCGTATGAAGAATATCTGATCCCTTTACCACAGAATCACTTGGGGACAGAGGTACAGGTGGGTCCCCAGCGGCCACTCAGATTTTTGATTTAACAGGTTTACTCCTGCAGAAGATAGACGTAGTTATTTTGAAATTTATTTTATAATATTCTAAGTTTTATAAATATTATATTTTATTAAAAATTCTATTTTATAAAAAATTCTAGTTTTAAAAATATTATATTTTATTAAAAATTCTATTTATATTTTATTAAAAAATTAAAATTCTATTTATAAATCTATTTATAAATATTATATTTTATTAAAAATTCTAAATTTAGGAAAAGAGAAAAAAATACTTAGCTCATTTGAATAGATTTCGAGAAAGAAAAAAAAACTTCATATAATAGCTTAGAAATAATCGATTTGGATCAGAGCAAATAAAAGAACCGACCGCTCAACAACAATTATGATAATTTTTTCAAGGACTGGACTGATCAGAAATGATTTTAAATCCATAGAGGGACTGGCGATATTTGGATTTAGACGATGGAAAAAAAATGGGTTCTATCACTATCAGCGATGGCATTAGGTTGAGCAGCCTAGCCACTAATGGTGAGAGCTATTAGAAAAAAAAGGAAATGGACTTAAAAAAATACAGTAATAACCGTTCAATCATATTTTTGAAAATAAAGCAGAAATAGGATTTTAATCGAGATGTTTCTGGACTTCCATGTTTGAAAAATCGAAATATGTACATATATTTGCACATACTCTCATTTCATGTGCAGTTCTTTTGTAGTCCATGTATATTCCTTTTTGTTGCAGCATAATATGAAACTATATATAGGTGGTGTTAAAAGAAAAATAATGCTCGATTTGTTATACTAGGATATTCTCCACTTAAGTTGATTCAAATATTTTTTAATGAAAATTCATTGCACTTCTGTTTAAAAGTAGAGCCATTAATTATACCAAGTAAATTTTCCCTATTAGTTTGGTCAGAAATCAATTTGCTTAATTGTGAATAGATTTCCAACACGAGAATTATCCTTGGCAAATTTTCAAAATTATTGTAAAAGAGATGGATTGAAATAACTGGGGGAACTTTGAATTTGTATCTATATATTTAAATATTTTTTATTAAAATTTAAAAGTTTAGGAAGGTATACATTGATATATTTTGATAAGTAAAAAGCCCAAAGAATTTGAGGGATTTAAAAAATTAAGGATAAATTTTTACGAAACCTTTACTTATATCCTGCAGAGCATACTTCAGAAAGCTTAGTAAATCTGGTTTTTCGCCTTCAGGCTGCTGCATCACTTTATCTCCTTATGCGACAAAGTTTTGAATCTGGCGCTAATCTTTCAAAAGTAAAAATGCAGATTACCATGTCACTGAGTACGCTGGTATCTACAGGAACAAAGTGTGGTGATTGGATAAATGAGGACTGTTTACGAAGAAGTTTAAAAACTGTTCTCATATATGCTGAAACAGATGCATCTGTGGATGCGCAGCTTCGATCAACTACCTTCTGTGAACAGGTTTTGATGTAATTTCAGTTTTCAAAAGAAGCAAAAAAATTTTGCTAAGATTTATCAACAATTATTTATATAATTATTCAGGTGAAAGATTTAGTTTTCAATTTGCACATGATTCTTTCTGATACTGTTAAAATGAAAGAATACAATAATGATTTCGAAATGCTGATTGATTTGATGTATAGAGTGGCAAAGGGTTATCAAAATAATCCCGATTTAAGGTTTTTTTTATTATTTTAATTATTGTTGTTTTTTATATAATTATATGAAAATATTTTTAAACTTGCAATTTCTAGTATTTTTTATTCATTTTTATTTATTCATAAAAATATCTATTAAAAATGGATGATCTTGAATAAAATATTCATAAATTCAGATTGACTTGGTTGATAAACATGGCAAATAAGCATGCAGCTAGAGAAAATGCAGCGGAGGCAGCTGAATGTATGTTACATGCAGCAGCTATTGCTGCTGAATATATATCTATGCGAGAATATGAATCTCATATTCCTAAGGGAGCAGCTTCTTTTATAGAAATCAGTGATAATATTCTTGAAGAAAGTGCAGTTTCTGACGATGTGATAAGGTAATATGAAATTTAATCAGTAATTTCATATTATAGTAATTTCTAGATTGTTAAATAATTTATTTGATAGATAATTAATTTGATAGATAGATAATTAACTTGCCTTTAGTCCGGATGAGGAAGGTATTTGTGAAAGTCGACATTTTACTCTGAGTGGTTTGGTGCATCTTGTCGAAAAGACTGCATTATTTATGGAAAAAGCTCAGATGTATGAAATGATGCATCAGATTTATAAGGTTGGTGTAATATTGATATGAAAATTTTTTCGTTTAATATTTTATAATAGGAAGCAAAGTGCATTTGCATTTTAAATATAGAAACCACAGAAAAATTTTCAATTATATAATTCAATACATTTAGAAATGTATTGTCTATTGAAATCTATTATTTCTGTGGTTTTTATTATTATTTATCAGTAATCGATTATCGATAATTGTTTTGTCAATGCCTATTTTTAAATTGATTTATTTAAATCAAAATTTGTTAATTTTTACTTTATGAAATACTTTGTTATCGTTGAAGATTTTAAAAATTTCTAGATAATTACACCCATTTTGGAAGAAAATAGGGATTACAGACGTTTAGCCCAAATTCATACTCGATTAAGTGATGCTCTCTCTCGTATTGAACCAACTGTGCCGCTTATTGAAGAGATTACTGATGCTTGGTATTCACCATTACCGAGGTTATTGCCAGATTTTTATTTGTATAAATTTCTAAAATATATATTTTCATCGTGATTCTTGGTAATACATCACCATAATTACAGTGCCGATAAAAGATGTTTTGGAACATATTTTCGTGTGGGTTTTTACGGGACTCGTTTTGCTGATATGGATGGTATCGAATTTATTTATAAGGAACCAGCCATAACGAAATTATCAGAAATAAGTTATCGTCTCGATGCTTTTTACACGGATCGCTTCGGTAAAGGCAATATTGAAATAATCAAGGACTCAAATACTGTGAATTTTTTATCAGTATTTGACAAACTATTATTTAAAGATATTGCTTGAGTTTTCATTATTGATTCATTACAGAATTTTTAATTAAAATTTTTATAATTAATAATTTTTAATTTAATTATAAAAACTTCCAATAAGATTTAAGGTTGATCGAAGTCGATTGGATATGACAAAAGCCTATCTGCAAATTACCTATGTGGAACCATATCTTGAAAAATGGGAGCGGCGTCGGAGATCTACGCATTTCGAGCGCAATCATAAATTGAATCGTTTCGTTTACGCGACTCCATTTACAAAAGATGGTCGTCCACATGGTGATCTTAAAGACCAGTACAAACGACGTACTGTTCTGATTACGCAGCATAGGTATTTTCTTTAAAGAAATTTGTCTTTCATTTTCAGTTTTTATTGTTCAATTACTTTAGTTTTCCATATGTGAAAACGAGACTTCGAATAATTGATCGCGAGCAAATTGTGCTTACCCCTATTGAAGTTGCTATAGAAGATGTTCAAAAGAAAACAAGGGAACTAGCTGCGGCGACAGCACAAGATCCTCCAGATGCAAAAATGTTACAAATGGTTTTACAAGGATGTATCGGCACAACTGTAAATCAGGGTCCTATTCAGGTATATGAGTTCTGTGCTAATTTTATTATCATTAAGTCGATGTCGACATTTATAATGTTAAAATAGTATATATAATAAATTTTATTCACTTTATGGAGCTCAACTCTTTTACACAATTAAGCTCTTTAGTATGCTCATTTCGCAAATAGTGAAGTGTAAAAAACAGCTGATGAGGTCCCAGCAAAAATGATCTGGTTAAAATTCCCAGAGCTTGAAATTAAACTTGCCGAACTTTACCAAATGTTGTTGGAACTCTAAATAAAACTTATGATATATTGCCATCTTCAATTTTAGGGAAGAGGATTTTGAAGAATCTGGAAGAACAGATGGGTAATTTCTTTTTCCGTCACGAACCGCTCATTTTTTTCAAAAAAAATTCCTTTTCTTGCCCCTCTCTGGGTGGTCAGGACTATCCTCAATCTTTTATCCTCTATCAGGGTCCTGGAAGATTGTGGTTTTTGCGCAGAAGTGCTCTTCCTATACTCTGCTGGATAGAGATCTCTGATGTTATTCCTAGAATCGGCCATTTTTCTAATTTAGGAATTACAAGTCTCTAATTATCATTGAGATTAGGGAGTAGAATGGCTCAGTGGGTTGTTGCTCAATTGGGGACGCCGATGCTGAGGTTCGATTCCCCGCAGGAGGAAACCTGTATAAAAAATCCGGGTGATGTTGGCGACTCACCTTATTTCTTTCGCCAAAGAGACTCCATGCCATATTGCCCATTGTGAAAAGCCAGTTAACCAGTAATGGTAGGGACTCTTAAAAAAAAAAATTATCATTGGGATTACTTTGACTCTCACTTACCACATCTTTAGTTTCTCTTTCAATATTTTAATATTTTTCTTTTTTGATATCTAGCTTCTCATATCCCTTCTTAACGTTTCTACTACTTGGTATTATATCACCAGCGGCGATTGTTTTCTACTGGTCGATTGGTCAATACTAATTTGTCTTTCTAGATGGAAAAGTCCCACAGGATCTTCGCCTTATTATTCTCTACGATATATATATATATATATATATATATATACTATTTTTCTCCATATCTTCACCGTATATCCCGTTTTATCACTTATTGAAAAATTTACCTTTAATCTTAACTCTTCTTCGTAGTTTTTTATTTCCATTTTTAATTCAAGGTTTTAATAATAACAATATTTTCACGTCACTTGACATAACAATAATAGTTAGAAATTATGTAATCTTAGCAAAATACCATAAATCTCATATTTAAATTCAATATAAAGTTCAATTGATTATACATTATATTTCGAATTTTTAAATTTTCCAAATTTTTTCGTTTGGGCGTTGTTCTTTTAATATTTTCTTTGTTAGGTTTTATTCAGTGAAAATGCTATTTGATTTATTGTTGGATTTACAATTTACATTATTTCATAGGTTGCAAATGTTTTTTTAACCGACATTACATTGGATGAACGAGGAAAACCGATGGATAAACTTCAGAATAAATTAAGACTCTGCTTCAAAGATTTTTCAAAGAAGTGTGCCGACGCTTTGCAAAAAAATAAACAACTAATTCAAGCAGATCAACTTGCATATCAGGTTTCATCTACTTTGGTTTTCGTTTTGAATATTTATTAGATTAATTCACTTAGACAATTTTTATATTTCATTTCTGTTGGGGATAGAATAGCTCAATTGGGAGCGCAGATACTGAGGTTCGATTCCCGCAGGAGTAAACCTGTACAAAAATCTGGGTGATGCTGGCGACTCACCTGTATTTCTATCGCCAAGGGACTCCCTGGCATATTGCTCAATTGCGACAAACCAGTGAAGCGAGTTTAACCAGTAATGATGAGAACTCTTCAAAAAAAAAATATTTCATTTCATATTTCATTAGATACGAAATATAATTTCAGAATGAACTGCAGAAAAATTATATTGAGTTTACCAAACGAATGGCACCAATTGTTGGAGGAATCGGTTCACGAAAAGGCAAATCTTTCGATGTATCTCCATTAAAGACTGTATTTTCTGCCGATTTAGGTCCTGTTACTTGTGTTTGAATTTTCTTTTAATTTCAAAATTTTTTCAATTAAATTCTAATTTATCATATTAATATATTACTGCATTCTGGGCTTTCTCGATTTGATGATCATAATTAAAGGCTCACTATGGGATAATTTTGTTTTGAATTTTTTAAATAATTTTTATCAATAATATTTTATCATTTATGTCAATAATTTGTTTGTTTATACTAAAGTTTTGCTTTAACAACTTTTTTTAAATAGTGCATTTTTGGCTTTACTTATTAAAATAAATGATTGTATATTCTTGCTTACCATATGATGAATTTTGGGTTCGGTTATTGGGCATTGAAACAGTGAAAGAAAATCTATCACTGAAGTTGAAATCTGGGTCGTTGCTGGAAGATCTTCTAAATCCCTAAGGGATGCTCTTAAGAGAAGGTCGTCTAAACGCCTCATCGTAGAATTAGTTAATGAACTGTATTAGAAGGCATCATTTATTTCATAAGAAAAAGCTTAATTTACGAAATCTTCGCCGTTGGCATTCGAAGTTATTTGACTTATATATAGGAATTTTAAAAACAATGGTTGAAATCTTCGGCATTTTTTATAAACTCCCTTCTAATTTCTCGAATATTTTTATTAAACAATTTTGCACATTCAAATTTTTTTCCTTGTTGTCATTATTTATTATATTTATTGTTATTACCATCAGCTTTTTCTTAGACTGTATTTTGAACATAAATCTCACATAATGCTTTATTGGCTCTGGAACGTATCACTTGTATGTCTGCTCACTGAAAGAATAACATCTTGTAAATTTGTTATTTCCGCCGCACATTAGCCGGTTCACCGACACGACCTGCTTTTTGCAAGCACATGAAAGATTTAGAATGGAAAAAGAGCGTCCGACACCCTCCGCTTGTAGAAACGGAACCCGCCCGAAAAACGACCGGTGACGAAGTAAGCTCCAACATCGCCCTATGCTTAATGCAGAATTTCTATCCGAAGTACGACGAGTGGTGTATTGCAGCTCCTTGGACCTTTGCCATTGCCAACAATTGTCGGCGAATTCGTCCGATTTGTGGTTTACTTGGATCCATAGCTCGGAAGTATATTAGAATTAGATTGGGTAGATATGTATATATGTATAGATCCGAGCAGCAGTCCTGAACCTTTTCATAACAGATTTACTACTGTCGGGAACTAGAAATTGAAGCTGCTGTAATTTTGCCGAAGTAACACCATTTGACATTTGATCATCCCTCTCTTGTATGTCGCGTATATGTCGCTCTTTAAAGATTGCGTAAAGCACTGTGGCTCTTAGGGCGCTTTAATCACGTCCGCGGAAGAAGGGTTAATTATGGTGTCTTTATGACTCGGATGTGTGCATAATTTAATAAATTCAGTATAAAAAATTTTTCCGGTTCACGAACTCTAAAAGAGAAAATTCACAAAGAGTTGAAGTGAAGGCTGCGAACAGCCGGTTGTCACGTTATCATTAGAAAGCGGATTTGCTTTGTAGGTTTGAGGGGACTTTTCATTTTGTGTTTTCAGAGGGCTCATTGCTTCGCTAAGTCGAAAATCGATTTTCATGGCAGACGCAGGTAAATTTAAGTCCGTCTTGAATTAAATTCGGGAAGGTTATTTTTTTCTTTATTAATCTTGCTAAATATTAAATTTAATTTAAATTGTTCATTAAAATTGTCAGTTAATTAAATTAGTTCGTTTTTTATCACTTTTCTCAATTTTTTCTTTATTCGCGTTGAGTTATTTTTTCAGAATTAAGTGTAGATGATGAGAGCTTGTTTGAGGCGGAATTGCTTCGGACGATTCAAACGGTGGAGCGGATGAAGCGATTGCCAGATTTTTTATTAGTTCGTCCACTTCATATCACTGATTATCAGCGCGGTTACTGTCGCCTTCTCTCGCAGTTAACTGAAATTGGAGATCTAAGCGAGAGCAAATTTAAGGAAAGGTTAGCCCTTTTCCTCTTTAAAATTTCTTTCAAATTGGTGGCCGCTTTGCTTATTACTTTTTAACTGTTTTGATAATTTAATTATTTTGCAAATTACAATGTTATATTCTTTTGCAGATTTTTATCGATGCGAAATATGATTCCTAAAAGTTATTATATAATTGTAATTGAAGATACAAGGCATGTTGTGTTCTTTATTTTCTTGATTTCTCGTCAATATCTGATTTGAAAATTAAATTTTTATTTCTTATCAAATCTTATTTCTGCGTTGCGCGCCAATACTTTTCGGTTGTCTGGGCAGCGCAGTTGGAAATTTCTACTCTTTCTTGTTTTTCCTTCCCTTTCATCTTTTCACTATTTATCTCTAACGATTAATGATTTCGATGCAGATCATTTCTTACTATATTCTTGACTATTTTCTCGTTGATAATAAGAGTCGTTGATATTCACGTAGCAGAAAATTTCGTTAATTTCAAGATGTTTGTTTCATTTTTTCTCCATTGAAAGTTTCAAATCAAAATTTTTTATAAAAGTAATTTCTAAAAAGTATTGTATAATAATTTTTTTATAATGCTAATTAAAAATTGGTTTTAATTAGTTATTTATTTTAAAATTTTTGTTTTAAATTGTTTAAATCAATATTTTCTAGGTTCCTCAAATTATTTTCTTTAGAAACAAAATGATTGTAGCTTCGGCTACTCTTTCGGTTGAATTGAAGTTCATCCATAGTGCGACATGTCGTGGCCGCATCGAAGATGTTATTGTCGATGAAAAAATGCGTGGCCAAAATCTTGGCAAAGTTCTTTTGCTATATTTAGTGACACTGGCTCGTTTTGTTGGTGTTTATAAGCTTTCACTTGAATGTACTGAGAAGTTAATACCGTTTTATGGGCAATTCGGCTTTTCGAAAGATAAGAATTTTTACCTTCAACAACGTTTCTATTAAATTTCGTTTTTTTGCTTTATTTTTTTAAATTGCTTTGACAGTTGTTTTTATTGTTTTTTAAAGTTAATTTTGGAATTTTGTTAAATAATTTTATTCATTACTTGTTATATTCTCGATTTTTTAATATTAAGTTCACGTTTTGTTTTGGCTTTTAAATTTTATTAAAATTCTATTGCTTACAAATCAGAAAAGTTCATCAAAGTTCAATGATTTTTCGCAAATTTAGAATATTTTTCTTTTAGTATTGTTTATTAGCAATGAAGAGGGAAATTATGAGAAAATTAATGGATAGCACAAATTCTTCACTTGCTTGATCTATGATTTATCATCCAATTTTTAATTATTAATAATAATTTTCGTTTATTGCTTGTTTTAATCAATTCTTATCCTTTTTTCGATGGTTTATATTCGTCCGGTGAAAATATTCAATTGTCCAATGTTTCACTTATTTCAATATTTTGCCTTTTTTTTGCTAATTTTACCGTAATGTTTTAACTATAACTTACAAAACTATATAACTGCTTTGATCATTTATATGATTGTTTTATTCAGATCGTGATGGAATACTTGTGATTATTATTTAAACAAATTTTAATTTTTTAACACATTCTTTTGCTGTGGTCTAGTGAATCTTAAGTTGCTCAATTGGGAATGCCGACGCTGAGGTTCGATTCCCCGCAGGAGTAAGCCTGTGTGCAAAAATCAGAGTGGTACTGGTGACTCACCTGTATCTCTATCGCTGAAGGACTCCCTGGCATATTGTCCAATGCGAAAAGCCAGTAGAGCGTGTTTAACCAGTAATGGTGAGGACTCTTTAAAAAAAAAGTGAATCTTAAGTAATTTACAAAAATTTGACATTGTTTTAGTCTTATTGAAAAAATTATGGTATAATACAATATATATATGTACAATGTTATGGTGCATTTAGAAAGGTGCACTGTTTTATATTTTTTACTTAGTTGCGATTTAAAGGAATTTTTATTTTATTATATGAGAATATGTTATATGTTATATTGAATTGATATTATGTGTCGATTCGTTTTCTTTGTTTTTTAATAAATTGGTTTGTTTGAAATTTCTTCCTGGCAGAATTTGGTTTTTTTCCAAATTTTGTCCTTCGAAAATTTCTTCTGAAAATTATTTCAATTTATAATTTGTGGTAAAAAATTTTTTCATTTTTATTGAAGGTTTAATTCAGCGAATTGCACCAATGAAATGACGCATTTTCTTAGCAATGTTACACTCGATTATAGGCTGAATTTATATGATCACGAGTGGATTCAACATCAGTTACCAAAGGTTTCGCGTTTCGTTTCACCATTAGTGGATTCCACTTTGTGCTTAATACTTTTTTAGTTTTTTAGTTTTACTGTTTGCTTGCACTTCTTTTATTTCATTTCTGTAGCAAATGGATTTTTTTAAATCGAATTCTAATTTTAGGTTTGATGCACTTATAGGTTCCTCGGGGTTCATATCTTTGGCTTTTGTTTTCTTAAAAATAACCGTAGCCTAGGTGATCCGTTGCAAAAAATTATGAATCTATGAATTCAGCGAAAACATCTATTTTCTTTGTGCATCTCAATGTTTTTTTTTGGACGGTAAAATTTTAATGATGGTCGGCTTTTTTGTCATCTGTGTTTTGCCGCTAAATAATTTTAATAATTTTTTACCTTCAGGAAAGTGTCGAAATTCCGAGAGAACATCTGCCAGAATCAGGATCCGATAATCTTCCTTCTAGTATTAATATTCGTCAGGTTTAATTTCGTTCTATTCTGTTTCCCAAGGGTATACCTAAGGGAAACTTTGTCTTTCGGTTTCGACCGAATGGCATAAAAAATACCGAAAACAAAATTCGAAAGCCGAAGATTTTATCAAGAGCAGAACAAGTAAAACATAAAATTTTATTAAAATTTCAGTACATGATTAGACAAGCGTCAAGTCCAAAAGTTTTAATGCAATATTTATCTGATTTATCAGAAAATTAGAAAAATCAATATTCTTGCAATATTTTGAGCGTTAGAGGTGAATTGGGCAAGTATTTCTTGCTTTGCTGAAAAGTTGATAAGATGACATGCTTGTTATAAGTATTGGCCATTATTTTTGAATTGTCCTGACTAGTACTGGATTCCGAATTCTGCTTTGATTCCGCAGACCGAATAGGGTACTTTCTCGTTTGGTGCCTCATTCATAAATGCCACTAATTCATCACGAATTCTGCATTTTCTTTTCTGGCATTCATTGTCAGTTTTATCAAGGCTGAAAATCCCTTGCTGTTGTCGTTTTCAGTCTTTTGAGGCCAAGGAAATATACTATTTTTTTCAATACTAATTTTTTTTTGAATTTTCTTGGGATACGTGTCAAGCAAAACGTGTTTGGCGTAAATTTTCAAAGCACTGGAATATAAATAATAATTTTTAAACCATGGGTGTTTAAAATATGAAATAAATTTCATTAAAATCTACGGCTTCGTCTAGTAGATCGTCTTGAGAGAGAATCTCTTATTCTCTTAATCTCATTGAATGAACTAGATAAATGAATTAGGAAAAAAATTGCTATCCACTGAGAACTGTGGATTACGCTGGACAAATAATAGCTGGAACGAATCAATCGAATTTTTTAGTGTTGTATAGTTCCATCAAAAATAATCAAAATTGATAAGACCACTCCGCCAAAGTGACAAAGTAATGGAAAGGCATTCTGAGTTTTCGCAATAGGGATATTATCGAAAGAAACTTTTGCAACATTAAGATCTTCGAATTCCAATAATAATATGTACGAGGCTGTTCTGGAGGTCGTAATTGCCTGGTTCTTCCTTTTCCAAACAATCATCTGAGAAATCATGATCAGAAATGAAAATTTGGTATTATTTATGTTTTTCTCGATAAATTCCAGGCCCTTATATAATTGGTTTAGATGGTTGACCCATCTCATTTCATTGCCATTTCTTGTTGAATGTGGTTAATATTTGATAGTGATCAACAAGTGGCGTTTGTATTTATAAACATTTAATAAGGCAAATTCATACGATTACAATAACATATCACCTCATAATCGCCTCATATTTTTCGAAATCTTTCGTATTGTAATTTTTTGATCGATGTCAAAACCGATGATCGAACATTGGATTGTAGCAGAAACTAAAGACTTTCTCATTAGCCGTACTTTGTGGTATTGTTCGTTGTTTTACTCAGAGGAAATCATTCAGTAAGAGAAAGATTTGAAAATGATTCTAATTGATTATTTAAAAAATTTTTTGGGAATTTATTTTGGTTTTAATCCTATCGAGTTTACAGGAATCAACTGCTGAATTGGAACGTCGTTGGATTGACGTTGGTCTTGATCGAATATCATTAGATTACCCTGAAAAGCATTAAATACAGCAATAAAGCAATAACTCTCGCTTTGTATAAAATATAGCTTTATTCATTCCTTTTATTCCTTTTAACTCAAAATTGTTCAAATTCTAACTATGGGTAACGAGCAAAGTAGCACTTCAAATAGTTCGATCTCAACTTCACTCTCTTTTTTTGGTAGCAAAAAAAGTGGTTCAGTGAAAAGATGTGATCGTATCGTTGTTGTCAAACCAGCTGCAGAAGCGATCCCAAAATCTAACGAAGATGAAATTCTTAAGAGATTTCTTGTATGTTTATTGGTTTATTTTTTCATCAGTTTTAATGGTGAATTTTTTCATTTTTTTTCTGAAATAAATACAAATATTTAGGAGATCCCGAAATTTTACCCAATCTTCCGTAGTTCTTTGAACCAATCTGGATTGCATGATTGGCCTGATGTCACTTCAAAAATAAGTTCAAAACCAATATTAAAGCTGTCTTATCGTCTTCAACGACATCTTTTTGAATGTGCGGATGTAATTTGTTCTGAACAAGATGGCATTACGAAAATTATAACCAATGTAAGTGGAAAGTAAATCTTTCTGATTTAAGTCCAAAAGAGGTTATTCGCTTGATTTTTTTGAATTAATTATAAGGTTTATATAGCAGTTATAGAGCTTTTCTATAATTATTAAAAATTTTTAGATGAACGCAAGGTTGCTGAATATTGTTCGAAAACACAACGATCGCAAAAAACGAATGGAGCGGCTTTATAATCGTTTGGCCGATTTAGATGATTTTCGAGCCCAACTCACTCGAGTTCAAGTAAGGTTTTTTATTTTTCACAAGTAGCGAAGATGGATATGTTGAAAGAATTGTAAAATGCTAACAGAAAAAGAGGAGAGGAAATTGAGAGAATGGTGAAAAGCTGGAATCTGTTCATTTGTTTTAATTCCTTTCGGGAGGCACGCTGGTTTTAACTGTAGATAGAATATGAAATAATTATATATATTTCTGACATAAATGTCATTTTTCAGTTTTATTTATCGCATTTTTCTTAGTGTTCATTACGTGATGCGGTGTCGTTTGCTATGACTTTGAATGAAATATTGTCAGGAGAGGATCGCTTGCCATTGCTGAATCTTGGAAGTGTTCTAGAACGTACACCTATTGCAACATCGTCAGATTCTTCGCCTGATGAATCTGGATTGCATACTGCTTTTACTGTTGATAAAAAAACTGGAAAATATTGATAACGCTGCCAAAATTGTATGATTATTCATCAAAAAATTTGCTACTTTTCTATGGTTTATTTGATAAAATTTTCTTGCGTTTGAAATATTTACAAATTTTATATATTGATGCAGTTCGACTGATACGTTTCTTTTTATTTTTTTTCATTTCTATCTTATTTTTTGCTTTTGCCGCTGTTAAGCTATTGTTTGCTGCACTATTTGTACTCTTCTATATTAAATTTTCTTGAAATTTGATATAAATTATAATAGGAAAAGCTTTAGCAAGAATAGCTATAGCTTTTCCTTTAGCCTGGGGTACTATTTTTTATATTTCATAACTTTATATTTCATTTGTCAGTTTTGCTTAAATTTTCTTTTTTTATAACTTTCTTGTATTATATTCATTGGGAATTCCTTCATATCGTATTTTGAAGATCTAAGGCTTGATTTTTTTCAAAGGAGTTTGATGAAAGGTTTAGCATTTCATGTTGTGTGTGGATTTTATTAAGAAAATCTGTGTGGTGATATAGCTAAGTGTTAGAGTGTCGTTATCTTTACCTCATAAATTTTTATAATGCAAATGCTAATGCGCTATAAAAAATGAGCTGAATGCTTATCGGTTTCCTTGTGAACTAGAATATTATGCAACGGTTAAAGGAATAGGATAGATATTTTAGCCATTTCGTCTATCTATGCATTCAGCCGACATGGGGATTCATTCCGATTTTGGCCTCATTAATATTTCGAGCAACCTTGAAAAGGTTGGTAATTTTGATGAAAAGTTTTTGTTTTCTATTGTTATAAAGTTATTATGGTTAAGTACATTCCTAGATGAGGCCACTGGATTGTAGACAGCTCACAGCTATTGTTAATTGCTTCTTGCTTAAATATACGAAGATATTGAGTAATTTCGCAGTTAATGTTGAATCAAAAATTCTGGCCATGGAAACTCAATTGAATCGAGTGGAAAATGAACTGAAACTTTTGGATGCGAAGGTCAGTTTTTTTTGAACGATTGAATAAATGTTTATGCATCTTTCCTGTTCTAAAATGCACGCTTTCTAGTTTGTCTGGCCGAAATAATCGTCCTTTCTGTCCATCTTGTTACTTGGGAACAGAATTATAGATGGGACCAAGCTGATCCGAAATTTGTTTTTAGTGGTAGATTTACTCTCATTAATAGAGAGGAATGGATAACAAATTTCCATCTAAGCATTCAACTATATACACCATTCTGCCTTTAAAAGAAGGCCAGAGATAATAATAAGTAAAACGAGAGAAGAACATCTTGATCAGCTGGAGTTTTGTGCAACATCCACTTGAATTCTTATGCCTTATTCTTGGAATATTATTCCATACAGCAGATTTACAAATGTATCGCATTCTTATCCTAAGATTAAATAAAATAATTTTCTTTAAGTTTGTCATAATACCTCCGTTCTTCATATCTTTGCAAGTTTTCTTTGCAGCTAGATAGCATATCTGGAGTAAGGGAATTATTTTCCTATTTCCCTATACAAGAAGTTGAACCAACGATTCCAGCTGATAATTCAGAAAACATTACTGTAAGAGTTTTGATAGCTTTTAACATGTTTTTCTCTTTGATAGTGTATATAGTTTGTTTTATTTATTTTTTATTTTTGCCAAATTTTTGATGGCATTGATTCATTCTATTATATTTTTTAATTTTTTATTTTTTAATTCAATAATTTATTTAATTTAATAATTGTCTAATTTCAAGAACAATGAAAAAGATAATCTCTTAAATAGTGAAAAAGTTGCTTCCGAAGCATTATTATTAAAATCAAATAATATTGGAGTTGCTGAAACGTCATCCATTCAGATTAGCGTGCAATACGAGAAATATTTCAAAATGCTAAAATTGGTTGGTTATTTAAGGCTTTAAAAATCTTTTTCTACGTTCTTTTACGCTTAAAGAGATTGGCACTTTCGAAATAAAATTCTGAATTCCAAATCGAATTTCCTAATTTCATTATTTATATTCAGAAATTGTAACATTTTTGATTTATTTTTGATTTATAGGGAGTACAGAAAGCAGCGGTTCAACAAAAAATGCTATCAGAAGGTTTCGATCCTTTAAAACTTGAGTCAGTTTTCTTTAATAACTTCGATTTAGAGAAAGTTCCAGTCCTGTAATTTACAAATGTTTTATTAATGGTATTCCAAAATTTTAATAGTTGATTCTCATCAAATGTTTTATTAATGGTATTCCAAAATTTTAATAGTTGATTCTCATCAGGTAAAAAATAAAAAATGCTTAACACCATTTATATGTAGGATGAACCAATGAGTGACAGAAATACGGGTGAGCCTTCACAGCATCGTCTGGACTTTCTAATGAAAGGAGACTGAAAAACCGTGATTGTCCTTATGACTTCCTTTTGTTTATGTTTTATCTCTATCGATATAACTGCAATTGGTATATGTTTTGGATTGAAATAAGTGCCCTTTTTATATGATTTTTTAAGAATTACAAATCCTCATTTCTTTGCTTCAAAGACAAATGAAGATCAGCAAGACCAACAACCCAGCTGCAGCGATTCTTAATAATTATTCGAATAAACGAGGTAATGACAAGTTTTTATATTTTATATTTTTCGGACCAAATCTGGTGAGTAATGCGACAAAAAATGGATCGCAGTTACTGCGAAAAAATATTCCTTCAGGAAAAGAGCGAAGATAAGAGCTCCAGGTTGCGACCTTTCAAAAATTTTAATTTTTGATTTTAATTTGATTTAATTTTAATTTTAATTTAAAGTTGAATCTTAAATTTTTTTCAGAGTTAATAAACCAGGTTTTATCAATTTAAGTAGTCACTGAGGAAATCAAACTATTTGAAAGAGAAGCATTTTGAAATTATTTTTTAAATGTACGTATCAAAATACGAAATACGAAAAATTTTAAAATGTTTGGAATATTCTTATGCAAGGTGAAATGATTTTTTTTGGGAAAGAGTGCTGTGGTTTAAATAAACTGGTGAACTCAGCTAATTTGTTATTTTTTATAATTATATCTTTCTTTTCATCTATTATTTTTATCAAAATAAGCATTATTACATCCAAAATATCATTTTCCTTTATTTAAAATTATCTTATAATTTATTTATACGATAATAATGGCAGTGAATTAATTTCTTCTGGATTTGATTCTCTGTAGCTTAACCCAGTGGTTCTCATGCTTTTTCCTCCTGTGATCTCTTCAAACTTAGAAAAGTTTTTGAAGAATTTGAAAAAACTTTTGTTTATGGATCTGCATCCTACCGATATCAATAATTAACATAGGAAATGCTTATTAAATCAAATAAAGCACTAAACCAATTACATTTTGATATCGACGACACTTTCAAAACAGAAATATTTTTAAAAGAAAAATTATTTTTTACAGGTTTAGTCAAATTACATAGCTCTAATAAAGTCGAAAAGAATCTCGCGCACACTCGTTTCTAGAAGCGTTTTTCTTAATCTCATCTGTAGAAATAAAATTCAGTGTCTCTTCCCTTAGTAAATAAGCTTAGTGAATTTTGAAAAGGTGTTGGCACCACTTATTTTTTGGCTTTCAAAAATTTTTTGGTTTCCTTTAAATAATCTCATTGCACTTTAGGCAGAAAATTCCATATAAATTCACATACTTTAACTGGATATTAAAGTGATGTTTACTATCGCTATTGTTTGTTTTTTATTATTAATTATTGTTTTTATTATTTTTTGCCATTTCATCACTTATTTTATATTGTTATTTATTATTATTCCACCATTAATATAATATTATTATGAGAAAGAAATTGTTTGATCCTTATTTATTCACAAGTTAAAAAATGTTTTTTTTCTTCTTGAAAAATTCATTTTTTTTCGTTGAAAGCAATTAGCACAAATACTCACAAATGTTAGAATTAGCTGGAACAAATGACGGTGCATCGGCGGAAATAAAACAATGAAAAGAATCACTACAAGATGAAAATAATTAGTACAACCAAAAATACATTGTTTCGAAAAGAAAATTAATATTCTCTATTTGACAGGAAGCTTTTACATAAAAATACGTTTATTCTAAATGTCAACAAAATAAAAAATTAAATGATAAAACACTTAGAAATAATGAATTTAGAAAAAAAAGAATAAAAAATAAATTCCTCCCATAAAATTCTCCCAAAAAACAATTTTAAGAAGAAATTTTACGAGAAGTTTTATTTTCAAGCGCATATTTATTTTGTATTTTGAAATTGCGACCTCGGGCGTTAAGTAAACAAAGAGAAAACATGAAAGGGCGATATCAAGATGCAAATGAGTCTGGAAGATTTAACGAGTAGGGTTTAATTAATGCTACTAAAAAATAACGAGAAAAGATACAAATGCACTTTAAAGCTTGAAGGTTGAAGATATTCGACAAATTTTGTACATTCTTCATTTTGGAAAATACACAATGGGTTTCAATTCGGTTGGTTAAGATTGCACAAGCAATGTGACTGATTTTTAAAAAATGCCAGAGGACCATAACAAAAGAATAGGTCAGCTTTTGGTGTCGCAGACGCAGATTTTGCAGTGATTTATCCCATTAATATATTGAATAATTTAATAAAGCGATTTGAATTTTGGCTTGCAAATAGGTTTGCATTTATCTCTTTGTATTAAAATTTAAGGATAAATCACTAGTGCTTTCAAATGCTAACTATAAATTAGCTCCATAATAAATAAATTAAATAAATTTTAAATTTTAAATAAATAAATTTAAATTAATTAGAAATAAATTTTCTTAAATAAATTTTAAATTTTCCAGTTCGTTGGTCAAATGTCGAAAACTCTGAATTTAGACCATAATCTACTATTCAAATTAAAAATCGACATAAATATGATGCAGCATATACAATGAAAAGACAAATGGCTGCCGTGATAAAATTGACAAATAACTAAGAACTGGAAAACTGAGACTGATCACCCAATTTCATCTTCCTATATTTATTACGCCATCATATATTGAATTCCTCTAATGGGAAAATCATATTCTACTATTTCCGTGCCTTTGTTTTGTTCGCCCATTTTCCGAAAAAGTAAACGGCGAAATCGAACTAAAAAAGAAAATTCAAAAATTTATATTGTTTAATTATAATAACACATTTTCATATTTTTGTTTAAAGTAACATATTTTCTTTTTGGATGATTCAAAAAAATAATCGTTAATTTCGTCATTTCCTTTAAAGAATCATATTTTTAAGAAAAACACTTCAAAGTCCAATCTTCTGGGAAGACACGGGAAATATGAATGAATAAGAGCTTGCCAAATTTTTACGAACAGCGTTGGTTGAATTTTATGGTTACCGCTGAATTATTTTCAATTCTTTACTGTAAAACTCAGTTATAACCAAAAAGCTACAACCCAGTAGCAAACCAATTAACAGTAAAGCTCTTCCTCAAATGAAAATCGGGTTTTGAGATGAAACGAGAGAATTCATTGTTCGCCCACTGCATCAAACTTTTACTTTTGTAAAAAATCAATTTTTCATCATAGATCATCTCATTTCCAGAAAGGATCATCATTGTGCCATATTAGCAATGAACAGCCGATTTCTTAACATGTCTTCACCTGAAACTGCGCTGATTCGTGAGGTACTCATTTTTCAAGCTTTTTCTTCTTCCCGATGCAGATAATTCCACAGCTAACAAAGTTCTTGCGCTAAATCTTTCTGGTTCTTCTGAGATTAATCTCCATTGCTCATTCAGGACTCACTACGAAATTTGAGGGCTGCCTGCAATGTGGGGTATTTTCGCGGTTTATATTTAAGGATTCGCGAATCAATCTTGTTATTTTCACCAGATGTATTAAAGCTGTTTGCAAATTGTCGCTCAATAATATCTCAATAGTACCTTGTCTTAATAAATTCATGAAGCACCAGAAGTCGAATATCACAACACGTCAAATTTGACCACGAAATATAAGGAGAGCACAGGGACAGAAAACAAATAACAAAAATAAATGACTTCAAAGCATCGTGGAAATTTTTTGAATGACCCAATAATTAAGAAATAAAAAAAGAACTGGGAAAATCCTAGAGCACAATACGAAAATAAAGTTAAAATGAAATTTATTATCCTATTAAATGGCCTAAAAAAAGAAATGCTGTGGATATGAACAACCCTATAAGTATGAAATGACAATGAAAATAATGTGAAAAATGTAAAAAAAAAGAAGTTTTAAAAAACCTTATATGATCTACCAAAGACGCATCCAAAATGGGCTGTTCAAGTGTAAGCCTGAAAATTCATGAATTAATACTCACTCATTTCGAAAATCTTAATGCAATGGCTTTAACTGTATTTTTTAATAAACAAAATTAACAATATAAAATAAAAGTATATTATCTGAAATTCAACATGATTACTGTAAAGATTAATAAAGTGTCACGAGAGATAGACGAAGAAAATTTCTTTTGAATGCCTTAATTCCTTCTGATTATATTTCAGGAACCTAATCAAAATGGAAATGAAAGGACAAAGAGCCAAAAATCACAAACTATAAACTATAATGATAAAAATACCTCGAAATAACTAATTCATAATTATTTTCACTTTCTTTCAACAAATTTCCAGCAAACTCCATGAAATTCTTCAACTCAACTTCGGCATATCTCATGATGCTGACATAGCGCTTAGCAAGCTAAATACGGTTTGATTGAAAAACCAGCAAAAAAAGGACAAAAAAATGAATGGATAAGATGAACGAATACGGGTACCAATTTTGTACAGTATTTATATAGTAAATTTGATAGTGATTGTCTACGCATTAAACAATCACATATTACACAAAAAAAAATTAAAATAAACTAAAAAATTAAAAAATTATTGTTATTATTATTGTAAGATAAAAATTTCTAAGAAAATGATGATTTTAGCCAAATGATAAAAATAAATACCTCTGAATTTAAATCTGAACAAAATTTAAGATGGAAAGTGGAAAAAACCAGCGAATTGCAACGAAAAAAAAACATACCAATTCAACCACTTTAAAACGTTTTTGTGCATTAGCGAACTGATTCAAGCAGAGTGACTGAGGTGCATCACCGCAAAGAATATTATTACTTAATTCTACTATTTCCGATAAAAATTTTCCGAATTGCTGAAATAAAAATATTCATCAGTTTTAAAATTTATATCAAATGAAGTTAGTAAACTGACCATTGTCATAAAATCAAAATAACCAAAAATATATTGCAAAACCTATTTTCTAAAAATCAAAATGTATTTTTAAGAAATGCATAAATATTCACAAGCCTTACTTTAGAACAACACGATATAGTATTAGACAAACGAGAAAAACTAGCGGAAATAGACGCTTCCAATCTATCTTTATCACGCAAGATCCGATTTGCAGTACCACTGAGCATATTAACATCAGGTTTTTGAAATGCTTGTAGTTTGTGGCCTGTCAACGCATGATGATTTAAAGCACACGTCGTACACAAAATCCTCTAAGATAAAATTTTTCATTAAGCATTTGCCTTACTAATTATCTAAATACAAAAACAGATTACGATTTTAGTTAATAATTAGTGTTAAAATTAAATTAATATTTATATCTTTTCTCAGTAGTGTAACGAGAATTTAGGAAAAATATTAATACCGCCTCAGCATTGTTCTTATCACAAGTAAAACAAAATAGTTTTTCAATGACCATAAACGAACAGAGCGAGCAACGTCCACTTCCACTGCATACAAATTCAATCACAGCTATAAAAAAATTGACTGGAAAACGACTGGAAGAACATGATTCACATGATTCAGTACAAGCATGTTTGACAATCGCCTCCAAATTTTCCTGCCGCCGACCCCACCGCATCCCCTAAGTGCCTCCATGGCGAAATTTCTAGCCCTACGAACAGCAAAAGGAGGAACTCGACCATAAATGGCGAATGCTAACCACTTAATTGGTTTCATTCTACAATGAAAGCTGAAAAGTAGATAGTGGAACGTACTAAATGAAATTACTTTAATCGATTTTTTCATTTGAAAAAAATTGTGAACAAAGATTAAAAAAATAGATATTTAAAGGATTTAATTTCAAATAATTAAAAATCAAAATAAAAAAAGAATCAAGCCAATAAAATTATCATAACAAATATGCGGAATATTACATGAAAGTGCGTAATTCGTCTGAAGCCCGGCAGATGGAACTTCAGTGGGTCCACGGCATATCGGACAGTTTATATAAGATGCAGTCGACAAATCAATAATTCGCCTCGCGCATACGTCGCAAATCGTATGACCGCATTCCAGTTGTTTTGGGGTTACACAAAGCTAGAAAAAGAGATAAGTGAAAAAATAAAAATAAACAAAAGTATCTAATAAAAGACTTTCTTCTAGCTTTCCCGGGAAAATCTCGAATTTATAGAGGGAAAATTTAAAAAAATCGGCGAAAATTTAAAAAATGATGAAAATTAATGCCAATTATCGATATTTTAGATTAGTGTTAATGTTATTGATAGTTTAAAGAAGCAATGAAATAAGCCAAAGATTGCCAAAAAACAAATTGGACACGCGAGAGAATCAATTAAGGAGGTGCAGTTCACACACTTCGCCGCGTCCATTGCCACCTAAAAAACTGATTGTTTACTAATTTAATAGACGAATTGCCCCGTAGAGAAACATTTGCCCACGAGAATTGGAAAATTTTCAACTCGGCAGAACGAGAAAAAACGCCATTCGAAATCACTGACTGGTTGGCTCCCCAAATTTTCTTCATCCAAAACTTTTACGGACAAACATGACTTCGGACGATAATTAAAGGAATAGCTGCCGAGAATTAGTAAATCAGTTATGAGATTTGGTGGTATGGGCGCGTGGCTCACGTCTGTTGGCTTTTCATTGTAGACGTGAGGCAGTCGGGTGGATTAGCTGCGATATTTTAAAAAAGTTTAAGTTAATTTCAGTTTAAGTTAAAGTTAAGCAGTTAATTTCAGTTCTTCGATTAATGGCGAATTGATTTGATTAATTGTTTTCATTTAGTTAATTTAACATTCAGCGGTGCGCGGCCAACTTCCGCCTTAAATGATTCCCATTGGTGTCGTCGGTGAGGGAATTTTTATTGTTTAGAAAAATCATTGGGCGATTCAAGAAGTGCATATTTCGGTCGGAGAAGCTAAGATTTTAGCATTTTATGGCGAGAAGGCAAATGCAATTAAAAATTTTATATAAAATTGCGTTTACAACAAAATAAATAAAATAATTCGCTATGCGTGTGCGATCGCATTGCACAGCAGTTAACGGTGCGATTGCAAATGGCGATTTGGTACACTGCGACTACAGCTTCCACTCTTCCTAGCGAATAGCAGCTTGGACACTGCCTGTGTATGACTCTGGCAAGGGTGGGCCTATCCTCGAAAAATCCACTCGGTGCTGGTCTGCAGCAGGAAACAGAATGTTTTATATTGTTTGCTAAAAAATGCCACTTAATTGCCATTTTTTTTTAACTGACGCATTATAATAGAAATATTTATCAAAAGATATCTTTATTTTCCCAGGTCGACTAAAACAAATCCGATGTTGGTTTTGCGATAGGCTTGATAGGTGTTCCCAAATTCTTCGTAGCAGTCGACTGCTGAATCTGTGAAAGCTCATCGAAATTACAGAAAACTCTTTTGCATTAAGAATTCCGATATGATTTTCTGTAAATTGCTAACTTTGAGAACAAAATTCTAAGTTTATTCCTAATTAACATTTACGTTTTGGATAATTGATTTATAAAATTTCATCGCTGAAGATTGGTTAGTAGTTCAGAGTTATATGTTATATATATCATCGAGTTTCGCATTCTTTTAAGATTTTTTAATTTATTTATTATTTATGTGATTATTTCAGGTGATTTAAGTGAAGAAAAGTTAACGAGGTGAAAGGCATAAAAGAAGGATTTTAATTTATTTCTGGAAATGGGAAGTTGAGATTTTTCATAAAATATGATAGATTTAGAGGGGATGACTGTGGCGGATTTTCAAAGGCTTCTAATATGTTATAGAAAAAATTTTGTCAGAAATATGTCATGTTAACCACAATAATGGTGGACATAATGGTGCAAGGGTCAGAGGTGTAAATAAATGATAGGGAGAATTAAGCGAATCTTACTATCTACTTTTGAAAAAAGGATGCATTGTATTTTGTAAATTTTTAAAATAGAAATTTTAGGGTGTGGAGGAAACAGTAACACTACTCATCATTTAGTCAAGGTCTTCCCTCCCAGTAATAGTCATAATAGTGTTTAAGATATTAAGATTACGTAACGAAACCCATTGTAATAATGGGTTATGAAATAGCGCGATTTAATGAAACTGTGGAGGAAACCTAGCTGACCTTTGAAAAATATTAACGCAATGGAAGTTTTTAAGGACGACGAGAACAAGGCGAAGTTTGCAAGATTTAAGTAGTTATATGAAATCTAAAAGGATAAGGGATACAATGGAATAATGGAAAAGGCGAAGCGGTTTTGAGGGTGAAGAGGAATAACAAGGGGAAGACCGGATTTAAAGGATGGGGAGATGGGGAGATGGAGAAAATATTGGCAAAATTCAGAGGGCCTTGGAGAAAATCGATGAGCTTTTTCTGGAAACAATTTGCATTTTGCATAAAGTGACTATTTGTTCATATTTTGCAGGGATCACAATTTTATTTTTCATGAATTAAATTCAATTTGAATTTATTCAAAAGATTTGCTCCAAATGGCAGATCATTTTATAGTCGTCATTTTACATATAAAAAGAACTAAGCCACACGAGCAAACCATATTTACAAAAATATTTTATCCTAATTTAATGAATTTGGTGTCACATGCGATATAAATGCTGGTACTGATTTGCATGGTGCATATCTCTTGGAAGCTACTCATTGAAAGGAAATGGAATAAAACTGCGGATATTGCATAAAAATCGCTATTGAATTTCAGACAAATCGTTTGAGTTATCCAAAAACAATTTGATTAATAAGTCCTTTGGTTAATTTAAAAACAACCTCAAATCGAAAAAAATGTTCGAAAACAATGGAATAATTAAAGGCCGACATCTGCTTACATCTATCTTTCCATAAACTCCTATATCTACATTTTTCCTTTATTGAAAGGGTAGGAAAACTGTTCAAAGAGCAAGAAAGGTAATTTTATTCAATTCTACAGTTTAAAAACATAACATATACTTGAATTTATGGTTAATGAAATTGCTTAAATTTCTTATGTGAATTACGATTTTACATATTAGGATTTGATTATTCCGACAAGAATGATCATTTCCTTTTTCCCTAATTTTTTCCGTAATTGGAATTCATAAATGCAAAGTATTATTCTGGAAAAACTGCCGTTAAAGCTAAAATCGTAGTTATTGTTAGGAATCTATTTATTCCTTATTTATTGCTTTTATTCCTTTGTTACTCTTTCGAGAAAAGATCTGGTAACAATCGAACACTGATAAGCAAAACGGGTCAACCAAATCAAAAATGATGAAAGTGTTAAGAGGAAAATAAGTAAATTTTAAAATTTATTTTTACTTTTTCTTAGTAAATTTAGAGTTATATTCCGGTACAATACAACGGTTATTTTTCTTTATGATTTTCTACTGTAATTCTACTCGAAGAAAGCAAAAAAGAGCATATGAAGATTTTATTATCTTTGATATACCAATCGTTTCGAAAAAGCATTAATCGGATCATTATTACACGGGGTGATCGCCATGACACTGCCTATATTAATCCCATTTTATGTGAAAATTACACGACTTTATTCTCTCTGAAGAAAAAAGTGAGGAATTCCGAGGTCAATGAGCAAATCATCGGAAATTTTTTTTTGGATTTTCTGCATTCACTAAAAATTGTAACAAAGTGCATAGTCTCTCGTTCACTAATCCACCTTTTAATTTAAGAATTACTATTGCTTTAGCCAATTTATGAGCTAATTTTAACATTGGTGAAATTCGTGTCAGAAGGTCAAAAGGTCAGTTCACTGCAGTTCACTGCAAATTAACTCTACAATAATTTTACAACAATCTTCTTTATTATGCGAATGAAGTTCAAATTACAGTTATGTTTTACAACGTAAACATTTGCTAAATTTTGGGAACCAACCATGAGAAAGAAAATTACAGCTTTGACACTGCACATTCGTTGCTTAAGATATAGGTCCGAGCCCAGTGACTTAATCTTTTTCGCTCTCTACGCCGCAGCATACTCCTCCTCCCGTTCATCTATCGACTGCCTGTCTATATGGCCACACACACTCGCAACTTGCTAACAGCCATAGTACATTCCCCCTATGAAATCTTAAAATTCTCGGTGGGGAGGAGATGTCCCACTAGTTGAGAAGTTTTGTTCCTTTTTTCTCATATATATTTAGATAAATAAACGTTAAGGTCATTTCTGGTTCAAACGAACCGTCGTCGTCGCTTTTATTGGAATACATAATGAGAAAATTCTCTTTGGAAATGAAGAACTGCTTGCTTTCTTCTCTCGAATAATCCTTAAATATTTATGAATTTAATAAACTCTCTGGCTGCTTATAAGCACTAAATACAATAAATTGTTCACCAGATTCGAGAAGAAAATTTGAAATTTCTATGGATTCTATGAAAAATTGACGCAACTGATAATAATCCTATGAAGTTGTCGCAAGTCGAATTCGCCCCGAGCACATCGTACTGCATCCCTTGAGTGCGATTTCGAAAAGCAATATTGCCAACAACTAGCTTCTTGAAAACAACTGGAACTGAACCTATCAAGAAAAGTTTATATTCAGTTTACGGATTCTTTGAAAAATTTTAATCAAATATTTATTTCGCTTGAAATTTTTTCGTCTCTTAACAGTGGTCACCTTTACCAGCTTAGTTGCTTTTACAAAACTCGTTTCAGTCAGAGAGTCGCAAATGGATACGGGTATAGTCACAGGTGGTGTCCCTAGCACCGTCGGGAATTCGCTTTTCGGGAATAAAAGGTTTACTCCCGTCGCCCCATAGTGCTCAATGCCAATCGAGTCAACAAAACCTGCCTCCTTAAAACCCGCTGATGTTTGGAAAATTTTTGAAAAGGAAATGTTTGCGCGTATAAAAGAGACCGTTAAGCTTTCTTCTTCAGAACCACTTTTTTATATTTTTTCGAAAATTTTTACTTAGAAATAAATAGAAATAAATGAGGAGTTTTGAATCATTGGTGAAAAAGTTTTATATAAAATAAACTTGGTTCAACTGAAATCAATTGAAATTTGTTCATTATGAATAATGAAAAAATTTTGATGATTGTTGAAATTGCAAAATTATAATTAATTATAAATGAGTAGAAAAGTAAAATAAGTGGTCAACGCTCATCGTCTACTTGGCTAACATTACCAGCAGTTAGTACGATTAGAGAATTTGGTAGAGCCATTTTGTCAGCACCACCCAGATTTTTTTAAAGAGTCAGCAGCTACTTCTCAGTACGATAATCTGAGACACCGTTCACTCGATCCTGCCCCTAGTTTTTTTGGCATACATTTGTAATTTAACAAAAGTGATTCGATAGCAATTTTTCCAAATTCCATTCCAAATGATGCTGGTTTGGCTGTCTGGAAGTTTCGTCAAAGAAT